GGTCATTGTCCTGTTGAAAAACAAATGATAGTCCCACTAAGCCCAAAGCAGATGGGATGGCGTATCGCTGCAGAATGCTGTGGTAGCCATGCTGGTTAAGTGTGCCTTGAAGTCCAAATAAATCACTGACAGTGTCACCAGCAAAGCACCCCCACACTATCACACCTCCTCCTCCATTCTTTACGGTGGGAAATACACATGCGGAGATCATCCGTTTACCTACACCGCGTCTCACAAAGACATGGCGGTTGGAACCAAAAATCTCCAATCTGGGCTCCAGACCAAAGGACACATTCCACCAGTCTAATGTCCATTGCTCATGTTTCTTGGCCCAAGCAAGTCTCTTCTTATTATTGGTGTCCTTTAGTAGTGGTTTCTTTGCAGCAATTTGACCATGAAGGTCTGATTCACAGAGTCTCCTCTGAACAGTTGATGTTGAGATGTGTCTGTTACTTGAACTCTGTGAAGCATTTATTTGGGCTGCAAATTCTGAGGCTGGTAACGCTAACGAACTTTTCCTCTGCAGCAGAGGTCATTCTGGGTCTTCCATTCCTGTGGCGGTCCTCTATGAGATCCAGTTTCATCATAGCGCTTGATGGTTTTTGCGACTGCACTTGAAGAAACTTTCAAAGTTCTTGACATTTTCCATGTTGAATGACCTTCATGTTTTAAAGTAATGATGGACTGTTGTTTCTCTTTGCTTATTTGAGCTGTTCTTGCCATAATATGGACTTGGTCTTTTACCAAATAGGGCTATCATCTGTATACCATCCCCACCCCCACCTTGTCACAACACAACTGATTGGCTCAAACGCATTAAGAAGGAAATAATTTCCACAAATTAACTTTTAAGAAGGCACACCTCTTAATTGAAATGCATTCCAGGTGACTACCTGGAATGCAAAGAGTGCAAAGCTGTCATCAAGGCAAAGGGTGGCTATTTGAAGAATCTCAAATATAAAATATATTTTGATTTGTTTAACACTTTTTTGGTTACTGCATGATTCCATATGTGTTATTTCATCATTTTGATGTCTTCACTTATTCTACAATGTAAAAAATAGTAAAAATAAAGAAAAACCCTTGTATGAGTAGGTGTGTCCAAACTTTTGACTGGTACTGTATTTTATGTTGTGTCTTATGGTATCAGCCAGGTTCACTGAACTTTCTGACTTACCTTTGTGTTGCACGTTTCATAAGTTACATGTACTACAATGTTGTGATGTAATGCAGCAAGGTTTACGAGGCGGTGTGATTGAGTGCATGTGTGAATGTGTGAGTAGGGGGAATGGAGACGTGAGGGACAGTGTCTCACTATCAACTCCCCCAGCATCCCACCCACCTACGCCCTGTACACACGCACAGATTAGATATTAAGCCTAGTGCTGTCCCGTTTGTAAGTGGGAAGCTGGAGTCCCACAGTGCCACATTTTCCGTCACTCTGTGTGTTTCTCTGCTGACCAGCTGGGACAGAAACAGAGACAACATGAAACAAACTACAGGTACAGCCTTGTTCTCTTCATCTGCATCTTTTCTCATGACCATCTGAATCTTGCTCTGTTTCATTGTATTCATGTTCCGTCACAGTAATCCATATTCTCATAATATTATTCCTAAATAGGCTAATAGCAGGCAACCATATTGTTGAAATATTGATTTGTAGCCTACTTTATCTGTTTTGGAGAATATTCAGTTGTGATATCATATCATGATATTTTATGATATTATGCTCCTATTCCATAGATGTTTATCTATTGTCTTGTAAAGAGCAGTGAATGATCATAGTATATTGTTCGGTGCAATAGGTATTGCTCTGCAGGCAGTGTCAATAGGTTGGCTATAACCATGATTCAGTCACCAGACCCATCTACAATACCCCTAATCGACTGGCTCCATCTTTCCCACCCCTCTGTAGTCTGCGATGCCCTTACTTTATTAGGTTTATTTGACTGTGCCAATTTACATTTCTATAAATGTGCTGTAAAAGATTCCACCAGCAGGCTAATTTTCCACTGTAGTCCCTGCCTAGGCAGGTAGATAAAAGCCACGTTTCCCTAGCACTGGGTACATGCTGATGACATTGCAGTGATTGTAATCTAGTTTATGTGACCTCACTTGCCATGCTGAAGGTTTATTGCGGGGAAAGACAAACAGAGGACCATTAGCTAAACCAGAAAGGCCCGCTGTGCATGTTCAGTCAGGGGCGTGAGGTCGATGAAGATTCCCCTTAATGGAACATTGATCTAGGTTTTATTTATACATGTTATAAACAATATTATGTTATAAACCTATCATAAGCATCCATACATGTTCTGAACATGGAACAAATATACTAAAACATTCATTTTCAAGTTATTTGATTGGTTTACTTTGCTGCACTGATGGGTGCAGCAAAGTGTGATGGGTTTAAAAAAAAAGCTTTGAATGTGTAAATTAAACACTAATACACACCTCCATATCAGAGTCAATAAAGGATATACAGTGGGGAAAAAAAGTATTTAGTCAGCCACCAATTGTGCAAGTTCTCCCACTTAAAAAGATGAGAGAGGCCTGTAATTTTCATCATAGGTACACGTCAACTATGACAGACAAAATGAGAAAAAAAATCCAGAAAATCACATTGTAGGATTTTTAATGAATTTATTTGCAAATGATGGTGGAAAATAAGTATTTGGTCACCTACAAACAAGCAAGATTTCTGGCTCTCACAGACATGTAACTTCTTCTTTAAGAGGCTCCTCTGTCCTCCACTCGTTACCTGTATTAATGGCACCTGTTTGAACTTGTTATCAGTATAAAAGACACCTGTCCACAACCTCAAACAGTCACACTCCAAACTCCACTATGGCCAAGACCAAAGAGCTGTCAAAGGACACCAGAAACTAAATTGTAGACCTGCACCAGGCTGGGAAGACTGAATCTGCAATAGGTAAGCAGCTTGGTTTGAAGAAATCAACTGTGGGAGCAATTATTAGGAAATGGAAGACATACAAGACCACTGATAATCTCCCTCGATCTGGGTCTCCACGCAAGATCTCACCCCGTGGGGTCAAAATGATCACAAGAACGGTGAGCATAAATCCCAGAACCACACGGGGGGACCTAGTGAATGACCTGCAGAGAGCTGGGACCAAAGTAACAAAGCCTACCATCAGTAACACACTACGCCGCCTGGGACTCAAATCCTGCAGTGCCAGACGTGTCCCCCTGCTTAAGCCAGTACATGTCCAGGCCCGTCTGAAGTTTGCTAGAGTGCATTTGGATGATCCAGAAGAGGATTGGGAGAATGTCATATGGTCAGATGAAACCAAAATAGAAATTTTTGGTAAAAACTCAACTCGTCGTGTTTGGAGGACAAAGAATGCTGAGTTGCATCCAAAGAACACCATACCTACTGTGAAGCATGGGGGTGGAAACATCATGCTTTGGGGCTGTTTTTCTGCAAAGGGACCAGGACGACTGATCCGTGTAAAGGAAAGAATGAATGGGGCCATGTATTGTGAGATTTTGAGTGAAAACCTCCTTCCATCAGCAAGGGCATTGAAGATGAAACGTGGCTGGGTCTTTCAGCATGACAATGATCCCAAACACACCGCCCGGGCAACGAAGGAGTGGCTTCGTAAGAAGCATTTCAAGGTCCTGGAGTGGCCTAGCCAGTCTCCAGATCTCAACCCCATAGAAAATCTTTGGAGGGAGTTGAAAGTCTGTGTTGCCCAGCGACAGCCCCAAAACATCACTGCTCTAGAGGAGATCTGCATGGAGGAATGGGCCAAAATACCAGCAACAGTGTGTGAAAACCTTGTGAAGACTTACAGAAAACGTTTGACCTGTGTCATTGCCAACAAAGGGTATATAACAAAGTATTGAGAAACTTTTGTTATTGACCAAATACTTATTTTCCACCATAATTTGCAAATAAATTCATAAAAAATCCTACAATGTGATTTTCTGGATTTTCTTTTCTCATTTTGTCTGTCATAGTTGACGTGTACCTATGATGAAAATTACAGGCCTCTCTCATCTTTTTAAGTGGGAGAACTTGCACAATTGGTGGCTGACTAAATACTTTTTTTCCCCACTGTATTGTGGTCAATATGAAGATCAACATAAACTCCATAACTATTGAATAACATCCCAAATACTGTATTCATGTGAGTTTGTATGAGGAGCAAAGTCCAATATCTGTAAGGCCTATATGGGAAGTGCTAACACCTACTGTATATGTCACTATTATTTACCAACTAATTTATCAAACTGATAAACACAAAGGTGAAGAAGAGGTTAGTTATTTAATGATGAGAATGATGTTTACTTAAGTTCTACCTTCCAGTAAATAGGTTGTAAATCGAAGATATTGGAATAACCTAGATAACCCACTCCCCTCCTTTCATAACACAGAAATCTCAATTATTACAGTGTATCTTCTGCTGTTGTGTTTATGAGATTAATTAAAACCGTGGCTGTTTCTGAAATGGCACTTAATTCCCTATATAGTGCACTTGTTTTGACAAGAGCCCTTTGGGCACTGTCACGTTGTATAATGATTAGAAGACAGGCGCAGGAATAAGTATTAGGGGTTTTATTTACTCCACCTAACACAAACAGGTAATATATATCAAAGGGATGTAACCCACACAAAGAGTGAGGTGTAACCTCTACACAATACACGGGACGAGACCCGTAAACAACAAGAGCACACTACACGGAACTCACGAGACCAACGGACATGGGACAATTATCGACAAGGACAATTGGGAACAGAGGGCACATATGTACACATACTAATCAGGGGGAACGGGAACCAGGTGTGCGTAATGAGACAAGACAGTCCAGGGTTGGTGGTAATGATCTAGTTCAGTGACACCTAGAAGGCCGGTGACGTAGCCCTCCGGAGCTGGTGAACGGAATGAGCAGCAGTACCGTGGGGATCTGTGACAGGCACTGGTCAAAAGTACTGCACTATGTAGGTGTAGGGATTGGGACGCATCCCAGTTTTCATAATGTCCTCCCTCTGTGGAGAAGAAAAGTAAGTAGCATTGCCCAAGCTCATAAGAGCAGGAGCATGTCTCCTGTTTCTGTAGTATGATGTACAAGTACACCCCCTGGATAGGATGCTAGTCTATCGCAGGGGGAAAGGACAAATGCTACATGTAATAACAGATTGATCAGAGCTCCGTTCGAGACTATCCTATCAACGTGATCTGAAGAACTGTAATATCCTATGTTTCTCAGAGTCGTGGCTGAACAAGGACATGGAAAATATACATCTAGCTGGTTTTTCTATACATCGGCAGGACAGAACGACAGCGTCGGGGAAACTCAGGGTGGTGGTGTTTGTCTCTATGTTAACAACAGCTGGTGCGCAATCTCTAATATTAAGGTCTCGAGGTTCTGCTCGCCTGTGTTAGATACCTCGTGATACGCTGTAGACCATACTATTTACCAAGTGAGTTTTCATCTATAGTTGTCTACTTACCACCACAAACCGATGCTGGCACTAAGACCGCAATCAACGAGCTGTATAGGGCCATACAGCAAACAAGAGGACTGTGAGCTCTCGTTCTCCGTGGCCTTTTGGCTTAAAACATTTAAGCGTCCCAGACTGCATCCCTAGCGCAGACCAGCTGGCTGGAGTGTTTTCTGACATATTCAATCTCTCCCTATCCCAGTCTGCTGTCCCCACTTGCTTCAAGATGTCCACCATTGTTCCTGTACCCAAGAAAGCGATGGTAACTGACCTAAATGACTATCATCCTGTAGCACTCACTTGTCCTCATGAAGTGCTTTGAGAGGCTAGTTAAGGCTCATATCACCTACACCTTACCTGACAACTTAGACCCACTGCAATTTGCATACCGCCCCAACAGATCCACAGATCTCTTTTGCACTCCACACTGCCCTTTCCCACCTGGACAAAAGGAACACCTACAGAACCAGTCAAAAGTTTGGACACACCTACTCATTCAAGTGTTTTTCTTTATTTGTTTTTACTATTTTCTACATTGTAGAATAATAGTGAAGACATCCAAACTATGAAATAACACATATGGAATCATGTAGTAACCAAAAAAGTGTTAAACAAATCAAAATATATTTTAGATTTTAGATTCTTCAAAGTAGCCACCCTTTACCTTGATGACAGCTTTGCACACTCTTGGCATTCTCTCAACCAGCTTCACCTGGAATGCTTTTCCAACAGTATTGAAGGAGTTCCCACATATGCTGAGCACTTGTTGGCTGCTTTTCCTTCACTCTGCGGTCCAACTCATCCCAAACCATCTCAGTTGGGTTGAGGTCTGGTGATTGTGGAGGTCATCTGATGCAGCACTCCATCACTCTCCTTCTTGGTCAAATAGCCCTTACACAGCCTGGAGGTGTGTTGGGTCGTTGTCCTGTTGAAAAACAAATGATAGTCCCACTAAGCGCAAACCAGATGGGATGGCATATCGTTGCAGAATGCTGTGGTAGCCATGCTGGTTAAGTGTGCCTTAAATTCTAAATAAATCGCAGACAGTGTCACCAGCAAAGCACCCCCACACTATAACACCTCCTCCTCCATGCTTCACTGTGGGAACCACACATGCAGAAATCATCCGTTCACCTACTCTGCGTCTCACAAAGACACAGCGGTTGGAACCGAAAATCTCTAATTTGGACTCATCAGACCAAAGGACAGATTTCCACCGGTCTAATGTCCATTGCTCGTGTTTCTTTGCGGCATTTCGACCATGAAGGCCTGATTCACACAGTCTCCTCTGAACAGTTGATGTTGAGATGTGTCTGTTACTTGAACTCTGTGAAGCATTTATTTGGGCTTCAATTTCTGAGGCTGGTAACTCTAATGAACTTATCCTCTGCAGCAGAGGTAACTCTGGGTCTTCCTTTCCTGTGGCGGTTCTCATGAGAGCCAGTTTCATCATAGCGCTTGATGGTACTTTGCGACTGTACTTGAAAAAACTTTCAAAGTTCTTGAAGTTTTCCGGATTGACTGACCTTCATGTCTTAAAGTAATGATGGACTGTCGTTTCTCTTTGCTTATTTGAGCTGTTCTTGCCATAATATGGACTTGGTCTTTTACCAAATAGGGCTATATTCTGTTTACCCCCGCAACTTGTCACAACACAACTGATTGGCTCAAAGGCATTAAGAAGGAAATAAATTCCACAAATTAACTTTTAACAAGGCACACCTGTTAATTGAAGCTGGTTGAGAGAATGCCAAGAGTGTGCAAAGCTGTCATCAATGCAAAGGGTGGCTATTTGAAGAATCTCAAATCTCAAATATATTTTGATTTGTTTAACACTTTTTGGTTACTACATGATTCCATATGTGTTATTTCATAGTTTTGATGTCTTCACTATTATTCTACAATGTAGAAAATAGTAAAAATAAAGAAATCCATGGAATGAGTAGGTGTGTCCAAGCTTTTGACTGGTACTGTTTGTGAGAATGCTGTTAATTGACTACAGCTCAGCATTCAACACCATAGCGCCCTCTAAGTTCATCACTAAGCTAAGGACCCTGGGACTGAATACCTCCTTTTGCAAATGGATCCTGGACTTCCTGATGGGCCGCCCCCATTTGGTGAGGGAAGGCAACAAGACATCCGCCAAGCTGAACGTCAACACGGGGGCCCCTCAGGGGTGCGTCCTTAGTCCCGTTCTGTACTCCCTGTGCACACACGACTGCAAAAAATTGTCAAAAACTCCAGCCACCCAAGTTATAGACTGTTCTCTCTGCTACTGCACGGCAAGCGGTACCGGAGCGCCAAGTCTGGGACCAAAAGGCTTCTGAACAGATTCTACCTCCAAGCCTGCTGAACAGTTAATCAAATGGCTATGCTGACATTTTGCATTGACCCCCTTTTTATTTGCACAGACTCTATTGCACCGGGTCTATGCACATTCGCTGGACTCTACCCACACACTCACACATACTACACTGGCACTCCAACACACACACACACACACACACACACACACACACACACACACACACACACACACACACACACACACACACACACACACACACACACACAGTAATCATGTATACAGTAATCATGTGCCTATGAACCAGAGTTACACTGTTAACACTGAGGCGGTGTGCCCTAGTAGGAAGTCCACAGCTGAAACATAAATAACATTGTTATGTATACTTCTGATAAGCTTCCCAGTAAAACAATAAAAATAATCAAGCATCCCAGAAAAATAGTCCACATAAACATATAGTGCCTTCAGAAAGTATTCAGACACCTTGATTTTTCCCACATTTTGTTAGGTTACATTTTGTTAGGTTATCTAAAATTGATTAAATTGTTTTTACTAGTAAGCCAGTAATAGGGTCAGACGCAGAGAATCCCAGTGACGAGAGGGGAGCTGGCCAGGCAGAGACAGCATGGGAGGTTCCTCACTCCAGTGCCTTGCTGTTCACCTTTGCACTCCTGTGCCAGACTACACTCAATCATAAGACCTACTGAAGAGATTTAGTAAATACGTACATATGTACAGTGCATTCGAAAAAAAATTAAACATTTATCACATTTACGTAAGTATTCAGACCCTTTACTCAGTACTTTGTTGAAGCACCTTTGGCAGCGATTACAGCCTTGAGTGTTGTTGGGTATGATGCTACAAGCTTGGTACACATATATTTGGGGAGTTTCTCCCATTCTTCTCTGCAGATCCTCTCAAGCTCTGTCTGGTTGGATGGGAAGCATTGCGCACAGCTATTTTCAGGTCTCTCCAGAGATGTTAGATTGGGTTCAAGTCCGGGCTCTGGCTGGGCCACTCAAGGACATTCAGAGACTTGTTTTGAAGCCACTCCTGCGTTGTCTTAGCTGTGTGCTTAGGGTTGTTGTCCTGTTGGAAGGTGAACCTTCGCCCCAGTCTGAGGTCCTGAGCGCTCTGGAGCAGGTTTTCATCAAGGATCTCTCTGTACTTTGCACCATTCATCTTTGCCTCGATCCTGACTAGTCTCCCAGTCCCTGCCGCTGAAAAACATACCCACAGCATGATGCTGCCACCACTATGCTTCACCATAGGGATGGTGCCAGGTTTCCTCCAGACATGACGCCTGGCATTCAGGAGTTAAATCTTGGTTTCATCAGACCAGAGAATCTTGTTTATCATGGTCTGATAGTCTTTAGGTGCCTTTTGGCAAACTCCAAGCGGGCTGTCATGTGCCTTTTACTGAGGAGTGGCTTCTGTCTGGCAACTACCATAAAGGCCTGATTGGTGGAGTGCTGCAGAGATGGTTGTCCTTCTGGAAGGTTCTCCCATCTCCACAGAGGAACTCTAGAGCTCTGTCAGAGTGATCATCGGGTTCTTGGTCACCTCCCTGACCAAGGACCTTCTCCCCCGATTGCTCAGTTTGGCCAGGTGGCCAGCTCTTGGAAGAGTATTGGTGGTTCCAAACTTCTTCCATTTAAGAAATGGAGGCCACTGTGTTCTTGGGGACCTTCAATGCTGCAGAATTTGTTTTTGTCTGTCCTATACGGACAATTCCTTCGACCTCATGGCTTGGATTTTGCTCTGACATGCACTGTGGGACCTTATATAGCCTTTCCAAATCATGTCCAATCAATTTAATTTACAATAGTTGTAGAAACATCTCAAGGATGATCAATGGAAACAGGATGCACCTGAGCTCAATTTCGAGTCTCATAGCAAAGGGTCTGAATACTTATGTAAATAAGGTATTTCTGTTGTTTATATTTCATTAATTTGCAAGAATTTCTAAAAACCTGTTTTCACTTTGTCGTTATCTCTGAAACTCACTTAGATAATTCATTTAATGATACAGTGGTAGCAATACATGGTTATGACACCTATAGAAAGACAAAAATGCCATTGGGGCGGTGTTGCGGTCTATATTCAGAGCCATATTCCTGTAAAGCGTAGAGAGGATCTCATGTTAAATACTGTTGAAGTAATATGGCTACAGGTTCACCTGCCTCACCTAAAGCCCATTCTTGTGGGAAGCTGCTATATACCACCAAGTGCTAACAGTCAGTATCTGGATAATATTTGTGAAACGCTTGATAATGTATGTGATATCAACAGGAGATATATTTTCTGGGTGACCTTAATATTGACTTGCCCACTCAAGAAAAAGCTTCAAACTGTAACCAGTGCCTGCAACATGGTTCAGGTTATCAGTCAACCTACCAGGGTATTTACAAACAGTACAGGACTGAAATCATCAACATGTATTGATCACATATTTACTAATGCTGCAGAAATCTGCTTTAAAGCAGTATCCATGTCACGATCGTCGGAGGAAATGGACCAATGCGCAGCGTGATAAGTGAACATACTTATTTATTAATTCACCACACGAACAAAACAACAAACGATACGAAACGTGAAGTCCTTGGTTACAATACAAACCATACGGAACAAGATCCCACAACACACTGTGGAAAACAGGCTGCCTAAGTATGGTTCCCAATCAGAGACAACAAGCAACAGCTGATACACGTTGCCTCTGATTGAGAACCACCCCAGCCAACATAGAAACAAAAGAACTAGATAATAACCCTAGCACACAAAACACATAGAAACCACACACCCTGGCTCAACATAACAGAGTCCCAGAGCCAGGGCGTGGCAGTACCCCCCCCCCCCCCCCCCCCCCCCCCCCCCCCCAAAGGCGCGGACTGTGACCGCGCCAAACATAAACCGAACAGGGGAGGGCCGGGTGGGCATTCCTCCTCGGAGGCGGTTCCGGCTCCGGGCTTGACCCCCACCCTCCAACCAACCCCCCAAAGCGCCCCTGGTCCGGTCTGGCCCTGCTGGCCGGAGCTGGACTGAACACTGGTGGAGCGGATTGCTCTAGCTCCGGAGTGGAGCAGCTGACCGGTGCCGGACCAGGCACCGGTGGAACAGGCACGGGCTGTGCCGGACTGACGACGCGCACCACAGGCTTGGTGCGGGGAGCAGGGACGGGCCGGACCGGGCTGACGACGCGCACCATTGGCTTGGTGCGGGGAGCAGGGACGGGCCGAACCGGGCTGACGAAGCGCACCACTGGCTTGGTGCGGGGAGCAGGGACGGGCCGAACCGGGCTGACGAAGCGCACCACTGGCTTGGTGCGGGGAGCAGGGACGGGCCGAACCGGGCTGACGAAGCGCACCACTGGCTTGGTGCGGGGAGCAGGAACAGGCCGGACCGGGCTGACGACGCGCACCATTGGCTTGGTGCGGGGAGCAGGGACGGGCCGAACCGGGCTGACGAAGCGCACCACTGGCTTGGTGCGGGGAGCAGGAACAGGCCGGACCGGGCTGACGATGCGCACCACAGGCTTGGTGCGGGGAGCAGGGACGGGCCGAACTGGGCTGACGAAGCGCACCACTGGCTTGGTGCGGGGAGCAGGAACAGGCCGGACCGGGCTGACGACGCGTACCACAGGCTTGGTGCGAGGGGCAGGAACATGCCGGACCGGGCTGGCGACGCGCACCACAGGCTCGGTGCGAGGGACAGGAACAAGCCGGACCGTACTGGGGACACACACCACTGGCCCTACGCGGGGATCAGGAATGGGCCGGACCGGACTGGCAACACACCCCAGTACCTCTCGCCGTGCCTCTACATTCTCCTTCCCCCTGGTGACCAGTGACTCACGTAACCTGGCGGCCTCCTTTGCCAACCCGCTGAACCACTCTATCCCGGCCTCCTGCTGCCCCGTTGTCCACGGCGTGAGCCCCCCCCTAAAAAATTTCTGGCCGTCTCTCCTCCCCGTGGGCCAGGCCTCCATGGCTCTCGCCAGACTCTCGCTCCTCTGCTCCAAAGTCCAGCCTCTCTCCTCCTCCCGCGGCTTGACCCAGTCGAGGTTGATATCCTTCAGAGTCACCTCTGGCGTTGGCTCCTGGACACGTTGCTTGGTCCAGTTATGGTGGGATCTTCTGTCACGATCGTCAGAGGAAATGGACCAATGCGCAGCGTGATAAGTGAACATACTTATTTATTAATTCACCACACGAACAAAACAACAAACGATACGAAATGTGAAGTCCTTGGTTACAATACAAACCATACGGAACAAGATCCCACAACACACTGTGGAAAACAGGCTGCCTAAGTATGGTACCCAATCAGAGACAACAAGCAACAGCTGATACACGTTGCCTCTGATTGAGAACCACCCCGGCCAACATAGAAACAAAAGAACTAGATAATAACCCTAGCACACAAAACACATAGAAACCACACACCCTGGCTCAACATAACAGAGTCCCAGAGCCAGGGCGTGACAATCCAATTTCATTGGATGTAGTGATCACAATGTAGTAGCCATATCTAGGAAAACCAAAGTTCCAAAGGCTGGGCCTAATATAGTGTATAAGAGGTCTTACAATACGTTTTGTAGTGATTCCTATGTTAATGATGTAAATAATATTTGCTGGTCTGTGGTGTGCAATGACGAGCAACCAGACGCTGCACTTGACACATTTATGAAATGGATTATTCCAGTTAATAATAAGCATGCACCCATTAAGAAAATTACTGTTAAAACTGCTAAATCCCTGTGGATTGATGAGGAATTGAAAAATTGTATGGTTGAGAAGGATGAGGCAAAAGGAATGGCAAATAAGTCTGGCTGCACAACAGAACCCACTGATATTGCCAACTACTTTAATGATTTCTTCATTGGCAAGATTAGCAAACTTAGGCATACCAGCAACAAACGCCGACACTACACATCCAAGTATAACTGACCAAATTATGAAAGACAAGCATTGTAATTTTGAATTCCGAAAAGTGAGAGTGTGGAAGAGGTGAAAAAATGATTGTTGTCTATCAACAATGACAAGCCACCTGGGTCTGACAGCTTGAATGGAAAGTTACTGAGGATAATAGTGGACGATATTGCCACTCCTATTTGCCATATCTCCAATCTAAACCTACGAGAAAGTGTGTACCCTCAGGCCTGGAGGGAAGCAAAAGCCCCCTTTACTGGCTCAATTAGCCGACCAATCAGCCTGTTACCAACCTTCAGTAAACTTTTGGAAAAAATTGTTTGACCAGATACAAAGCTATTTTATAGTAAACAAATTGACAACAGACTTTCAGCACACTTATAGGGAAGGACATTCAACATGCACGGCACTTACACAAATGACTGATGATTGATTGTGGGAGCTGTTTTGTTAGACTTCAGTACGGCTTTTGACATTATCGATCATAGTCTGCTGCTGGAAAAACGTATGTGTTATGGCTTTACACCCCCTGATATATTGTGGATAAAGAGTTACCTGTCTAACAGAAGACAGAGGGTGTTCTTTAATGGAAGCCTCTCCAGCATAATCCAGGTAGAATCAGGAATTCCCCAGGGCAGCTGTCTAGGCCCATTACTTTTTTCAATCTTTACTAATGACATGCCACTGGCTTTGAGTGCAGATGACTCAACACATTACACGTCAGCTACTACAGCGAGTGAAATTACTTAACAAAGAGCTGCAGTCAGTTTCAGAACGGGTGGCAAGAAATAAGTTAGTCCTAAATATAAAAAAAACTAAAAGCATTGTATTCGGGACAAATCATTCACTAAACCCTGAACCTCAACTAAATCTTGTAATGAATAATGTGGAAATTGAGCAAGTTGAGTTGACTAAACTGCTTGGAGTAACCCTACAGTGGCTAAGATGGGGAGAAGTATGTTCATAATAAAGCACAGCTCTGCCTTCTTAACAACACTATCAACAAAGCAGGTCCTACAGGCCTTGGTTTTGTCACACCTGGACTACTGTCCTGTCATGTGGTCAAGTGCCACAAAGAAGGACTTAGGAAAATTACAGTTGGCTCAGAACAGGGCAGCACGGCTGGCCCTTAAATGTACACAGAGAGCTAACATTAATAATATGCATGTCAGTCTCTCATGGCTTAAAGTAGAGGAGAGATTGACTTCATCACTACTTGTTTTTATAAGAAGTATTGCCATGCTGAATGCACAGAGCTGTCTGTTTAAACTACTCGGATACCCATGCATACCCCACAAGACATGCCACAATAGGTCTCTTCACAGTCCCCAAGTCCAGAACAGACTATGGGAGGTGCACAGTACTACATGCAAGTAGTAAAATTTGATTTAAAAAACAAATAAAAATACACCTTTCGGAACAGTGTGGACTGTGTAGAGACACAGGCACAGACACATGCATACACATAATAACACACGCATTCTACACACACATACACATGGATATTGTATTGAATGTATGTGGTAGTAGAGTAGTGGCCTGAGGGCACACACTTAATGTGTTGTGAAAAGTGTTATGAAAGGTAATGTAATCTTTTTTATTGTATGTAACTGCCTTAATGTTGCTGGACCCCAGGAAGAGTAACTGCTGCCTTGGCAGCAGCTAATGGGGATCCTTAATACACACACACACACACATACACACTTTCACAGTCTTCACATACACTGCTGCTACTCTGTTCATTATCTATCCTGATTGCCTACATACTTTTACCCTTACATACATATTACCTACATTACCTCAACTACCTCGTACCACTGCACATTGACTCGGTATCGGTACTCCGTGTATATAGTCTTGTTACTATTATTTCATTGGGTTACTATTTCCTTTTTGATTTGTTGTTAATTTTTCTTACTTTTTAACTCTGCATTGTTGGGAAAGGGCTCATAAGTAAGCATTCCATGGTAAAGTCTACACATGTTGTATTCGGCAAGCGACAAATAAAATATGTTTTGAATTTGATTTGTTTTATGATGCCATCAGCTGATAATTGGGGTCAACAACCTGGTAATCAACCAGGTAATCACAGGCTAACACCATAACACCAGTGTAGATGTCTCATAAAAGCATTAGAGGACGTTCAGCTGTACCCCTGTACTGGGATTTATGTGTAAGTGAAAGGATAGGATTTTGTTGTGCTGTAAAGGTAAGCCAGGGATTGGATTAATAGATGTGATCTGTTAGTTTGAGTAATTGAAAGTGAAGGGGACCATTTAGGCTACTGCCCATTGGGCAGATCACGCCAATGCAATGTGGATAATTAGGTAATATTTGGTTGAGACGTTGATCAATGAGATTACAACCTACTGTATTTTCACCCACTCAAAAAGACGGCCAAAAGTTAGTTGAATTTCCAATGTGTTATCACTATGCTCTCAACCATCTAAAAGCACAAACAAATTCCAATGGAAAAACAATGTCTGATTTTTTATTTAGTTTTCACCAAAATGTCTATCACTGCACTTTCAACCATTTAAAAGCACAGCAAAGTTCAAATGGGAATACAATGTCAGATATTTTGTTTATTTACAGTGCTATGAAAAAGTATTTGCCCCCTTTCTAATTTTCTCTACTTTTGCATATTTGTGATACTGAACGTTATCAGATCTTCAACCAAAACCTAATATTAGATAAAGGGAACATAAGTGAACAAATAACACAACAATTACATATTTATTTCATAAACAAAGTTATGCAACACCCAATTCCCCTGTGTGAAAAAGTAATTGCCCCCTTATACTCAATAACTGGTTGTGCCACCTTTAGCTGCAATGACTCCAACCAAATGCTTCCTGTAGTTGTTGATCAGTCTCTCACGTCACTGTGGAGGAATTTTGGCCCACTCTTCCATGTAGAACTGCTTTAACTCAGTGACGTGTGTGTTTTCAAGCATGAACTGCTCGTTTCAAGTCCTGCCACAGCATCTCAATTGGGATTAGGTCTGGATTTTGACTAGGCCATTCCAAAACTTCCAATTTGTTGCTTTTTAGCAATTTTCATGTAGACTTGATTGTGTGTTTTGGATCATTGTCTTGCTGCATGACCCAGCTGCGCTTCAGCTTCAGCTCACAGACGGATGGTCTGACATTCTCCTGTAGAATTCTCTGATACAGAGCAGAATTCATGGTTCCTTCTATTAAGGCAAGTCGTCCAGGTCCTGAGGCAGCAAAGCATCCCCAAACCAACACACCACCACCACCATGCTTGACCTTTGGTATGATGTTCTTACTGTGGAATGCAGAGTTTGGTTTTCGCCAGGCATTACTGGAACCATGTTGTCCCAAAAGTTATACTTTTGAAAAATCTGTCCATAGAAGGTTCTTCCAAGAGTCTTCATGATCATCCAGGTGCTTTTTGGCAAACTTGAGTCAACTTTTTGGACGAGATGGGTCCCATTATGCCTGGCCTCGAGCGGCACGTACGTCCGACCCACTGGACACTCTGGGGGAGTAGGATCGGTGCGTAACGGCCGCTCAATTTCCGCATCGACCTCCCATACCACCGGTGCCACCAGACAAGACTCCGGCAGTATGGGAGTGGGCTCAATGGACCTCTCCTCTGTGTCATACCGCCTGGACAGGGCGTCTTAAACACGAACCGGGTCAGAAACATGTTCCACCTAGCCTGACAAGGGTTCAATCTTCTAGCTGCCCGGTTACGGTGATCAGTCAGAATGAGAAAAGGGTGTTGAGCCCCCTCAAGCCAATGCCTCCACACCTTTAGAGCTTGAACCACGGCTAACAGCTCCCTGTCCCCTACGTCATAATTCCGTTCCGCCGGGCTGAGCTTCTTAGAATAAAAAGCGCAGGGACGGAGCTTAGGAGGTGTGCCTGAGCGTTGCGACAGCACTGCCCCAATACCGGCCTCTGACGCGTCCACATCTACCTGGAACGGTAAAGCGGGGTCCGGATGCGCCAGCACCGGAGCCGAAGTGAACAGGTCCTTCAGTTTACCAAACGCCCTGTCCGCTTCATCCGACCACTGCAAACGCACCGGGCCCCCCTTCAACAGGGAAGTGATGGGAGCTGCTACCTGTCCAAAACCCCGGATAAACCTCCGGTAGTAATTAGCAAAACCCAAAAACCGCTGCACCTCTTTAACGGTGGTTGGAGTCTGCCAATTACGCACGGCTGACACACGGTCAACCTCCATCTTCACCCCTGACGCGGACAACCGATGACCCAAGAAGGAGATGGACTCCTGGAAAAACAGACATTTATCTGCCTTGACATACAAGTCATGCTCCAACAGCCTACCCAACACTCGGCACACCAGGGCTACATGCTCGGCTCGTGTAGAAGAGTACACTAGGATGTCGTCAATGTACACTACCACACCCTGCCCATGCAGGTCCCGGAAGATCTCATCCACAAAGGATTGGAAGACCGAAGGAGCATTCATTAACCCGTATGGCATGACGAGATACTCATAATGACCCGAGGTGGTACTAAATGCTGTCTTCCATTCATCTCCCTCCCTAATGCGCACCAAGTTGTAGGCGCTCCTGAGATCCAGTTTTGTGAAGAAACGCGCTCCGTGCAATGATTCAGTCATACTCGCAATCAGAGGAAGAGGGTAACTGTATTTAACAGTGCTCTGATTGAGACTACGGTAATCAATACACGGGCGGAACCCTCCATCCTTCTTCTTCACAAAAAAGAAACTCGAGGACGCAGGGGAAGTGGAGGACCGTATGTATCCTTGTCTCAGGGACTCAGCAATGTATGTCTCCATAGCCGCCGTCTCCTCTTGAGACAGAGGATACACATGGCTCCGCGGGGGTGCCGCACCTGTCTGGAGGTTTATCGCACAATCTCCCTGTCTATGAGGTGGCAATCGCGTCGCCCTCGTCTTGCTGAACACGAGTGCCAAATCCTCATACTCAGGGGGAATGTGCATTGCGGGCACTTGGTTCGGACTCTCCACCGTGGTCGCCCCAACGGAAACACCTAAACATCGCCCAACACACTGGTCAGACCATTCCTTGAGAGCCCTCTGTTGCCACGAAATGGTGGGGTCATGGGTGATTAACCAAGGAAGCCCCAGCACCACGGGATACGCAGGAGAGTCAATCAGGTACAACTGAATGATCTCCTCATGACCCCCCTGCGTCTTCATCTTTAGTGGCGCTGTGACCTCCCTAATCAACCCAGATCCCAACGGGCGGCTATCTAGGGCATGGACAGGGAAGGGTGCATCAACGGGCAGGAGGGGAATCCCTAACTTAGTGCAACATTTCCGATCAATAAAATTCCCAGCTGCGCCTGAATCGACTAGCGCATTATGCTGGGAATGAGATGCAACCTGAGGAAATACCACAGGTATACACAAGTGAACAACAGAGAGCTCTGGGTGAGTGGGGCGCCTACTCACCTGAAATGACTCCCCAGTGCGCGACCTGTTGCCCCGATTCCCTGGAGACCCTCCCCAGCACCTAGCCGCAGTGTGTCCTCCACGGCCACAGTTGGTGCAGGGGACGGCCCCCCTCGGGTTCTCTCTCCTTCTCTCTCTAGCGCCAGCACCCCCGAGCTCCATAGGGCTCGGCTCGGAGGTGCTGGGGGATGGAATGGACGGCCCCAACTCGGGACGTCCGCGGGTGGCCAGCAGGGTATCCAGACAGATGGACATGTCCACCAGCTGGTCGAAGGACAGATTGGTGTCCCTGCAGGCCAGCTCTCGACGAACGTCCTCACGCAGGCTACACCGATAGTGGTCGATGAGGGCCCTCTCATTCCACCCCGCATCCGCCGCTAGAGTCCGGAAATCCAGGGCAAACTCCTGTGCGCTCCTCTTCCCCTGTCGGAGGTGGAACAGACGCTCCCCCGCCGCTTTACCCTCAGGAGGGTGATCGAAAACAGCCCTGAAGCGGCGGGAGAACTCCGCGTAGCTGATGGTGGCGGCGTCTATTCCCCTCCATTCGGCGTTGGCCCACTCCAACGCCTTGCCAGAGAGACAGGAGATGAGGGCGGAAACGCTCTCGTATCCCGAGGGCGCCGGGTGTATGGTTGCCAGGTAGAGTTCCACCTGAAGGAGGAACCCCTGACACCCGGCTGCGGTGCCATCATACGCCCTCGGGAGCGAGAGCCGAATCCCACTGGATTCCGGAGCTGGTCTGGTGGGGCTGGCCGATGGTGGTGGTAATGTAGGAGGAGGTGTGGGCACGCCTCCCCTTTCCCATCGGCTCAGGGTGTTCATCACCTCCTGCATGGCGGAGCCGAGTTGCTGGATCCTAGCGTCCTGGCAGCTGACCCGATCCTCCAGCGACTCGGTCGCCGCCGCTGCTCCTGCTGACTCCATAGTATGGTGTGTTGTTCTGTCATGGGCTGATGTGGATGTGGTGTTGGAGTCAGGCGCAGGACACAGAAGCTTAGTCAAACCGACTTTACTTGTCAAACACGACAATACAAAATAACGGGCCTCAAAACAACGGAGGCGAGCGATTACGCATACAGTGCGTCAATACACTAAATACAAGAGAGCAATAACAAATCACCAGTGGACAGGCGGACAACAACACACAACTGCCAACAAAACCAAAGGAAACTTATAGGTGACATAATCAATACATAAGACGAAACAGGTGCACCAACAAGACTAAACCAAACAAACATAGAGAACATCAAGCGGTAGTAGCTAGTACTCCGGGGACGACGAACACCGAAACCTGCCCGAACAAGGAGGAGGAGCAGTCTCGGCGGAATTCGTGACAACTATGAAATAACACATATGGTATCATGTAGTAACCAAAAAAGTGTTAAACAAATCAAATATATTTATATTTGAGATTCGGCAAAGTAGCCACCCTTTGCCTTGATGACAGCTTTGCACACTCTTGGCATTCTCTCAACCAGCTTCATGAGGTAGTCACCTGGAATGCATTTCAATTAACAGGTGTGCCTTGTTAAAAGTTAATTTGTGGAATTTCTTTGCTTCTTAATGCGTTTGAGCCAATCAGTTGTGATGTGACAAGGTAGGGGGTTTTACAGAAAATAGCCCTATGTGGTAAAAGACCAAGTCCATATTATGGCAAGAACAGCTCAAATAAGCAAAGAGAAACGACAGTCCATCATTACTTCAAGACATGAAGGTCAGTCAATAAGGAACATTTAAAGAACTTTGAACGTTTCTTCAAGTGCAGTTGCAAAAACCAACAAGCGCTACGATGAAACTGGCTCTCATGAGGACCGCCACAGGAAAGGAAGACCCAGAGTTACCTCTGCTGCAGAGGATAAGTTCATTAGAGTTACCAGCCTCAGAAATTGCAGCCCAAATAAATGCTTCACAGAGTTCAAGTAACAGACACATCTCAACATCAACTGTTCAGAGGACACTGTGTGAATCAAGCCTTCATGGTCGAATTGCTGCAAAGAAACCACTACTAAAGGACACCAATAATAAAAAGAGACTTGTTTGGGCCAAGAAACACGAGCAATGGACATTAGACCGGTGGAAAGCTGTCCTTTGGTCTGATGAGTCCAAATTTGAGATTTTTGGTTCCAACCGCCGTGTCTTTGTGAGTGTTTGTGTGATTTCCACCGTGAAACATGGAGGAGGAGGTGTGATGGTGTGGGGGTGCTTTGCTGGTGACACTGTCAGTGATTTATTTAGAATTCAAGGCACACTTAACCAGCACAGCATTCTGCAGCAATACACAATCACATCTGGTTTGGGCTTAGTGGGACTATTATTTGTTTTTCAACAGGACAATGACCCAACACACCTCCAGGCTGTGTAAGTGCTATTTGACCAAGAAGGAGAGCGATGGAGTGCTGCATCAGATGACATGGCCTCCACAATCACCCGACCTCAACCCAATTGAGATGGTTTGGGATGAGTTGGACCGCAGAGTGAAGGAAAAGCAGCCAACAAGTGCTCATTATATGTGGGAACTCCTTCAAGACTGTTGGAAAAGCATTCCTCATGAAGCTGGTTGAGAGAATGCCAAGAGTGTGGAAAGCTGTCATCAAGGCAAAGGGTGGCTACTTTGAAGAATCTAAAATCTAAAATATATTTTGATTTGTTTAACACTTACAATGTAGAAAATAGTAAAAATAAAGAAAAACCCTTGAATGAGTAGGTGTGTCCAAACTTTTGACTGGTACTGTAGGTAAGTGGGTTATTGTCAGTAGAAATGGCAAAGTGTGGTGCATAGAACAGTCCCAAAACTTCTCACACACTGCCCATTTTAAGGATAGGAACTCAAGTTTGCTCAAGTGTAGGTTGTAGTTTCCATTAGCTGGCGTGAGAGTTCTAGATCCATAACTGATGACCTTCAACTTTCCTTCCTGCCACTGATACAGCACAGCTCCGAGACCCTTTTCCGAGGCATCTGTATGGAGTGTGAACTGTAGGTTGAAGTCAGAGTACTCCAACACAGGTGGGTTGGCCAACATGTCAAGGAGTCTTTCAAGGGTTCTCTGGTGTTCACTCGTACACTGGATGGTAGCCCTAGAGGACAGCTTTCCATTCGACTTTCCCTCTGTATGGTTTTACTGGCAGTACATCAGTTGCAGTTTTCACCTGGAGCAACTCATAGATCAGTTTTGCTATCCTGGAGAAGTCCTGGCTGTAGCTTCTGCAGTAGCTCAGAAACCAGAGTAGTTTCCGGACATCACCAACGGTCTGAGGTGTTTTCTCCTTCAGTGCCATGATCGCGTCCAGGTCTTTGGGATCCATCCTTACACCATCTGCTGATACGAGTCATCCAACATATCATACCTCATGCTTAAACAACTCACATTTTGTTGTCTCCGTTTTTCTCCATGTTTCTGAAGGGCCTTGAGGACCGTCCGGCGTCTGTCAACGTGGTCTTCAAAGGACTTTGTGTAGCACAGTACGTTGTCGAGGTAGGGGATATAACATTCATCATGTAGCTTGTCCAGCATCTCCTCCATGCTCCTCTGGAATGTGGCAGGTGCATTCGATAGCCTTTCAGGGATTCTGACCCACTCGTAGAGCCCCCAGGGAGTGATGAATACCGTCAGATGTCTGGACCCTTCGGCCATGAACCTTTAGGTGATACGCCTTACCCTAATCCAGGAGGGTAAACCAGCTGTAGCCACCCAGGGTATCCGTCAGGTCTTGGATCCGCGGCATTGGATGTCTATTGGGGACTGTTTTCTGGTTGAGTTATCTGTAGTCGACACATAACCGCAGCAACCCATCCTTCTTTCGGACATATACGACTGGCGCGGAATACGGTGACTTTGACGTTACTATACATCCTTTCATTAACAGGTTTGGAAAGTTCCGAGATTCAGATTCAAAGTCTTTAATGGTCACATGTACAGGGTTGCAGGTGTGATTGCAGGGTACAGTGAAAACCTTAGGGTTTGAGCTCCAACAAGCAGGACTAAGTGAAATAAAACAATGAAAATGGTAATAAAAAACAACAATACAAATTCAATTAGTACTATATACATAATAACAACTGTGGCAGTGATTAATAAATAAATGCCCATTGGGTTGGAGGCAGAGTAAAGACTGTTGAGGGGGTGTGGGGGAATGGCCATAGGGGGAGAAACATGACAATTGAGGGGGTGTGGGGACCAAGTGAAAGAAAAACAATACAAATTGGAATAATATTCATATTAACACCTAAAACAGCTAGCTGACTAGTGGTGGCTATTCAGGGTAGAAACTATTGGCCAGTCTTTCAGTTTTTGCCATGATGCTCCTGTACTGCCCGCGTCTGAGTGAATGAAGCGGGGAGAACAGGGTATGGCTTGGGTGGCTGGGGACCCTGATTATCTTCTTGGCCTTCCTGCGTCACCTGGTGTTGTAGGGGTCCTGTAGGGCAGGCAGTGTGCACCCAATGGTGAGTTCGGCTGCACATATCACCCTCTGAAGAGTCTTGGGGTCCACGGCGATGGAGTTGCGGTACCAGGCTGTGATGCAGCCCGACAGTATGCTCTCGATGGTGCTCCTGTCGAACACTGTGAAGACCCTCGGGGACAGGTCGAATTTCTTCAGCATCCTGAGGTTGCAGAGTCGCTGTCGTGCCTTCTTCACTACAGTGTCCATGTGGTTAGACCATTTCAGCTTCTCTGAGATGTGTACACCGAGGAATTTGAAGTTATTGAGCATCTTCCACAGCGGCCCCGTTGATGAGCCTGGTTCCTCCTGAAGTCCACAATCAGCTCCTTTCTTTTGCTAACATTGAGGGAGAGGTTGGTCACCTGGCACCATGCCGTCAGAGTGCCTACCTCCTCCCTTTAGGCTGTCTCGTTGTTGTTGGTAATCAGGCCCACTACTGTCGTTTCGCGTCATCACCGAACTTGATGATGGAGTTGGAACTGTGTGAAGCCACGCAGTCATGGGGATACAGGAGGGGACTGAGGACGCACCCTTGTGGGGCCCCCGTGTTGAGAATCAGTGTTGAGGAGGTCATGTTGCCTACCTTCACCACCTGCGGATGGCCCATCAGGAAGTCCAGGACCCAGTTGCATAGGGAGGAGTTCAGACCCAGGGCCGTGAGCTTTATAAAAACTATGTTTTTGAAGGTTGAGCTGTAGTTGATGAACAGCATCCTCACATATGCATTCCTTTTGTCCAGGTGGGTAAGGGCAGTGTGCAGTGCAATGGAGATTGCGTCGTCCGTGGATCTGTCAGGGCGGTTGGCCAATTGGAGAGGGTTGAGTGTGTCGGAGAGGGAGGAGGTTATATGGTCTTTAACTAGACTCTCAAAGCACTTCATGATGACGGAAGTGAGGGCTACTGGTTGGTAGTCATTCAGTTCAGTTACTTTCCCTTTCTTGGGCACGGGATGATAGTGGGCATCTTGAAGCAGGTGGGTATAGCGGCCTGAGCTAGGGAGAAATTGAAAATGTCTGAGAACACAACAGCCAGCTGGTCTGCACATGCTCTGAGGGCATGGCTAGGGATGCCGTCTGGCCCGGCAGCCTTGCGAGGGTTAACACATTTGAATGACTTACATATGTCCTCTGTGGAGCCAACGTTGTCATCGGGGGCGCTCCTCGGCAGCTCAGGGTCATTGTGTTTAGCTCGTCTGGTAGGGTGACATTGGTGACCGTGATGTGGCTGGATTTCTTGTTGTAATCCATGATCGTTAGGAGCCCCTGCCACATATGCCTTGTGTCCGACCCGCTGAATCAACTTTGTCCCTATACTTGTGTTTCGCCATCTTGATCGATCTGCGAAACTCATATTTGTACAGTTTAAACAAACTATTGTCCCTGGTCACCTTGCCCTGTTTATAAGCAGCATCTCTATCTTTCAGCTTTCCTACAAGGCTGCTATCAATCAAAGTTTTTGATTTGGGTACGTTTTGGAAGATACTATCGGTATCACGTCATCTATGCATTTTTCATGAATCTGGTGACTGAGTCGACGTATTCATTGACATTATCTCCAGAGGCAACCCGGAACATATTCTAGTCCACGTGATCAAAACAGTCTTGGAGCGTGAACTCTGATTGGTCGGACCAACGCTGTACAGACCTGACCATCATAACTTCCCTCTTGAGTCTTTGTTTGTAGGCGGGGAGAAGCAAGATGGAGTCATGGTCGGATTTCCCGAAAGGAGGACGGGAGAGAGCCTTATACCTGTGTTGAAAAGGCGTATAGCAGTGGTCAAGAGTAGAATTTCGCAAGTTAGACAGTCGATGTGTTGGTAATAATTTCGGAGCACGATTCTCAAATTACTTTTGTTAAAGTCCCCCACAACAATGAATGCTGCCTCCGAGAATGCGGTTTCCAGCTGGTTCAGGGTCCAATGAAGATCTTTGAGAGTCTTTTTGGTGTCGGCTTGGGGTGGGATGTACACAGCCATGGTGATAATCCCTGAGAACTATTTCGGAAGGTAAAAAGGGCGACATTTGATGACCAAGTATTCCAAGTCGGGGGAGCAGAAGCTCGCAAGTTCCTGTATGTTTCCCCCGTCGCACCATGTGTTGTTGGTCATAAAGCAGAGCCCACCACCCTTGCTCTTGCCAGAGAGAGCCCGCTTCCTATCCGCTCGAAAAACTGTAAAACCCACTGGTTTTATATAATCTGTTTGGATGTCGGAGAAAAGCCAAGTCTCAGAAAAACAGAGTATGTTGCAGGATCTGATGTCCCTCTAGAAGGAGATCCTCGCTCTGAGTTCGTCAAGTTTGTTCATTAATGATTGAACATTGGCGAGTAGTATGCTTGGTAATGGAGGATGGCTCGCCCGACGTCTTAATCTCACTAAGACCCTGCCATGTCTGCCTCTCTGTTGGCATCTTCACTTCCTACTCTCCGGTATGACTCCCAAGCAGCAATAAGCTAGTCCATTGTTCTGCCATCTCAGGGAATTCGGGGAGGTCAGGTGGATTTGAGTACCCAGCAATTCGTATTACAATAGTTCTACCCGGGTGTGTAAAGTAATGCACGAAACAAACTGATTAAGAAAATGAGAAAAACACCTGCAATGTTTTATCGGAGCTCGAGGCGAGGCACCCTCTGTCGGCGCCATTTTACCCATCTCCTTACATTTCTGGTAAATTGGTTTTGGCACTGACGCATACGCTCTCTGGACAGGTACTTCATCTTTGAGACTGAGTGATATCTGCAGGCTTTGGATGCACCCGATATCATTGTCGTCAAGCGCGAAAGCAGCTGATTCCTCATACAATATGTTTGTGACTATTTGTTGTTGTGTTTCTTCCAAGTGTCTTATGTCAACTGGAGGGTGCCATAGTGACACTGCATCACCATTTGGGCTAGGTGAGTTGACACTGTTAACCTCCACACTGGCTTTAGGTTTCACTTGTTGGTCTGTCCCAACTATTTTGGCTATTGGCTGGATGCTACCAATGGCTGTTCTTGGCAGAGGTATGTCATGCCGGGTGTGGTTTCTGACAGGGACCTGTACATAGGGTTTGTGTAGCCTTTTGGATCTCTACTAAGCCCTCCCCAACATCTAGTTGTTCTAGCTGCATGTGGTTTTCGGACGTCGACAAAGTTTACAATGGCTTTGGCTTGGACATCTTGGATTGCCATGGCCCCACTGAGTAAGGTAAGACTATGTTCCACAATACTCCCCATTTGTCCTTTAATGACCTTGCTCCTCTATCACATTAAACCCAAGTAAGGGCCTCTCAAGCGTCAGCTGATTAACTAGGAATTGGACATGAATGGATAGATCAGGGTTATCATTCCCAGGTAGGTTGACAGTAACTTCAACCCAGCCATCGAAGGGTATGGTATCTTCATTCACAGCATAAACATCAAGACCTCCGTCGGCTCCCATGAGCTCAGTGAGCGGCCTCACTTTTTGACCAGGTAAGTATTTTTCCTTCCAGGCATGATCTAAGATGCTCACTTGGGCCGCTTGCTCCCAAGCCATACATGTTACATCAGAGCAGGAATTTCTTTTCTATAAGCTGGGCTACTTTGTCATGTTCTGTGGCCGGCCCCCCGTCCTGCCTCTTTTCTCTACACCAGCTGTCTTGGCGGATGCGATTTACACTTTGAGTTCTCAACACTGTGAAACCACCCGGTTGGGACTGTAGCTTCGGCTCGATCACTGGTTGTTCCTGCGCAGTGACCGGCTCCCGTTTCCCGAGTGCTTTAGTCTCTTTAGACAGCCTACTGCTCCATGTCCTTCCCTGTTCAACACATCATGGGGAGCCGTATGGTTTCTCTCTTCTGGGCCCAGACTGTTGGCTTGTGGAACACTGGCATGTATATACTGGTTGTTTTGACTGTGTCAGGGAGTCTATCATGCTGGTTAAAGCTTCAACCTGCGCACTGAGCTGTTGTATGGTCTTACTCTTGTGTTTATGGTCAGCAACCGCCTCCCCTTTGATACAGTTTTTATTACTATGGCTATCACCAAGCTGTACGCTATGAGCATGTATTGGTTAGGGGCAGGTTATTGGGCCTAGCCAATGCTGCCTCTCATTCTCGTTACTGGTTATTTCCATCACATGCCTTAGTATTACTTAGTCAGACACTTTGCTGTCAGAAAGGAGGGGTCTCAACTCCCTGCGAATATGGCTGTGTTTGTGTCTAAGCCCTGGTACACGGTGTGTAAGAATACATCTTGCACTGTCTGTACATCATACCTTATGTCTGTGTTGGCTTCTTTTGACATGAACAGAATTTTCAGTTTCAGCCCTACCATCCTATAGAGAAACTGTTGCGGAGTCTCTTGTTCACTTTGATTAGGCACATAAGCTCTTGGAATAGTTTGGTACTGTTTTTTTCCCCCTAGGTGACTCTGGAGAAACCCTTTAAGCTCTACTATTGTCATGACTGTCTTTGTTCATGAGCATGTCCTTGAAATTTCCAGGCCTTATGAGCCGCAACACGCTTCTGACTATCTCATTTTCACTGCAGTTCTCTTCAATCCCTTCTTCTATCTGTTTGCACGCATTGGTGTAGCTTATGTCTGAAGCGTGGTCGCCTATTTGACCCCCATGAATCTTGAATTCTCTCCGCTGCATGTAAAAGATATCTTAGGGAGACTACACTGTCGTGCTTAGATGGGTGGTGCACGCTCAGAGTGACGGCTACTGTGTGGTGAGTTATCATGTACAGTGCTTTGTTTCACAGCTGTGGGCGGGGTAGGGTTACTTCTACATTGGAGGCGTTTCCTACCTCATAGCTAGAAAGCATTATCTGGTATTCAGTATCAGTATCTGATGGGTCATTGGCTACGTTAACAACATCAGCTGCATTGGTGGGCGAAGGAGGTGTATTTTCAGACTGATTTTCAGACTTCTGTAGCTCTGACTTGTCTTTGTCTGGTACCGGGCCGACGGTCTTGCCGATCCGATAGTTCTTCAAATGTCAGCGCATGCAGGCGCTTCCTGATGTCCCACACCAGGCCCTTCCTTGCACCATCCGACATGGCCTCTCTTTATCCCTCACGCACGTCACACAGCTACACAGGTCACACAGTCCCGGATGTCTGTATCACTGGTTCAGCATCCTCCAGCAGGCGAAGCCTATCCCGGAAAAGCCCCCAAGAATCTGTAACAGGCTCCAGACATGAGATCCCACTACAGATAATAAAGTCCTGTTATACACAGGGAGAAAGAAGACACAGGAGATACGTTTGTTTTTCAATCAGGCAGTTTCTTCCTCTTTTTTTGCTGTAGAGCGTACTCTATACCCCAATTCCCCTGCAGCTCTCCCCAGTGGTACACACTGGATAACAATCCAATCAAATCAAATGTTATTTGTCACATACACGTGTGTAGCAGATGTTATTACGGGTGTAGCGGAATGCTTGTGCTTCTAGCTCCAACAGTGCAGTAATATCTAATAAGTAATATCTAACAATTTCACAACATATGCCCAATACACACAAAACTAGTAAGGAATGGAATTGAAGAATATATATGTGAACAAGCAATGAGAGAGTGGCATGGACTAAGATACAGTAGAATATTATAGAATAGAAACCTCAAACAGTCACACTCCAAACTCCACTATGGCCAAGACCAAAGAGCTGTCAAAGGACACCAGAAACAAAATTGTAGACCTGCACCAGGCTGGGAAGACTGAATCTGCAATAGGTAAGCAGCTTGCTTTGAAGAAATCAACTGTGGGAGCAATTATTAGGAAATGGAAGACATACAAGACCACTGATAATCTCCCTCGATCTGGGGCTCCACGCAAGATCTCACCCCGTGGGGTCAAAATGGTCACAAGAACGGTGAGCAAAAATCCCAGAACCAGACGGGGGGACCTAGTGAATGACCTGCAGAGAGCTGGGACCAAAGTAACAAAGCCTACCATCAGTAACACACTACGCCGCCAGGGACTCAAATCCTGCAGTGCCAGACGTGTCCCCCTGCTTAAGCCAGTACATGTCCAGGCCCGTCTGAAGTTTGCTAGAGTGCATTTGGATGATCCAGAAGAGGATTGGGAGAATGTCATATGGTCAGATGAAACCAAAATAGAAATTTTTGGTAAAAACTCAACTCGTCGTGTTTGGAGGACAAAGAATGCTGAGTTGCATCCAAAGAACACCATACCTACTGTGAAGCATGGGGGTGGAAACATCATGCTTTGGGGCTGTTTTTCTGCAAAGGGACCAGGACGACTGATCCGTGTAAAGGAAAGAATGAATGGCGCCATGTATCGTGAGATTTTGAGTGAAAACCTCCTTCCATCAGCAAGGGCATTGAAGATGAAACGTGGCTGGGTCTTTCAGCATGACAATGATCCCAAACACACTGCCCGGGCAACGAAGGAGTGGCTTCGTAAGAAGCATTTCAAGGTCCTGGAGTGGCCTAGCCAGTCTCCAGATCTCAACCCCATAGAAAATCATTGGAGTGAGTTGAAAGTCTGTGTTGCCCAGCGACCGCCCCAAAACATCACTGCTCTAGAGGAGATCTGCATGGAGGAATGGGCCAAAATACCAGCAACAGTGTGTGAAAGCCTTGTGAAGACTTACAGAAAACGTGACCGGTCATGCAAAAAGGGTATATACAAGTATGAAAACACCAAATACTTATTCCCCCATAATTTGCAAATATTCAAAAAAATCTACAAAGATTTCTGAATTTCTTTCTCATTGTCTGTCAAGATATGTGAAAATACAGCTTTCATCTTTTTAAGTGGGAGAAGTGCCAATTGGTGGCGCTAATTTTTTTCCCACTGTATCAGAGAGTAGTGCAAGATATGTAAACATTATTAAGTGACAAGTTGCATTTCTTAAAGGGGCCGTGATTTCAATAGGCAGTCAGCAGCCTCTAATGTTGCTAGTGATGGCTATTTAACAGTCAAGATGGCCTTGAGATAGAAGCTGTTTTTCATTATCTCGGTCCCAGCTTGATTCACCTGTACGACCTCGCCTTCTGGATGATAGCGGGGTGAACAGGCAGTGGCTTGGGTGGTAGATGTCCTTGATGATCTTTTTGGCCTTCCTGTGACATCGGGTGCTGTATGTGTCTTAGAGGGCAGGTAGTTTGCCCCGGTAATGCGTTCAGCAGACTGCACCACCCTCTGGAGATCCTTGCGGTTGCGGGCGCTGCAGTTGGCGTACTAGGCGGTGATACAGCCCGACAGGATGCTCTCAATTGTGCATCTGTAAAAGTTTGTGAACGAAGTTCGAATAGCAATGGTCGAGGATTTTGGCAGTGCGAGTACAACAGTCGATATGTTGATAGAACTTTGGCAGCCTAGTCCTCAAATTTGCTTTGTTAAAATCCCCCCCTTCAATAAATGCAGCCTAAGTATATGTGGTTTCCAGTTTGCATAAAGTCCAGTGAAGTTCTTTGAGGGCCGTCGTGGTATCGGCTTGAGGGGGGATATACACGGCCGTGACTATAACCAAAGAAAATTATCTTGGGAGATAATACGGTCGGCATTTGATTGTGAGATATTCTAGGTCGGGTGAACAAAAGGACTCGAGTTCCTGTATGTTACTACAATTACACCATGAGTCGTTAATCATGAAACACACACATCCGCCCTTCTGCTTCCCGGAGAGATATTTATTCCTGTCTGCGAGATGAACCAGCAGGCCGCTCCGAGTGCCTCTCCTCCTCTTCCCATTGGAGGTATATGGAAAAAAAACTCTAATAAAAAAACACAACCAATACAAAAACATAACAGATAGAAAAAATACATATCTCTTTCTCAAAACACCAAATTGTGACCAACATATTTATGTGCATCACACTATTGTATCGTCTATTTTTAGTTGAATTCTGGGTTGAATTGAAACAATAGCTGTTGATGACTTTGCAATGCTATATAGGCCTAAATAGCATCATTGATGATATATGAGTGGTAAAGTATGGTCACATTTAATTTGCTCTGTTAAACCTACCCTTTGGAATGATGTCGATAGCAACAAAGACCTCTCAACAATCATTCTCACGATAGCACATTGGTAATAGTCAGTGACAAATATCATAGCTGGGCTTGGTTAAAAACCTGGATGGGAGACCAAAGGGTAGCTGTAGGTACAGTGCATTCGGAAAGTATTCAGACCTCTTGACTTTTTCCACATTTTGTTATGTTACAGCCTTATTCTAAAATGGATTAAATAGTTTTTTCCCCCTCATCAATCTACACACAATACCCCATAATGACAAAGTAAAAACATGTTTTCAGAAATGTTTGCTAATTTATTAAAAATTATTACATTTACATAAGTATTCAGACCCTTTACTCAGTACTTTGTTGAAGCACCTTTGGCAACGATTACAGCCTCCAGTCTTCTTGGGTGTGACACTACAAGCTTGGCACATCTGTATTTGGGGAGTTTCTCCCATTCTTCTCTGCAGATCCTCTCAAGCTCTGACAGGTTGGATGGGGAGCGCAGCTGTTTTCAGGTCTCTCCAGATATGTTAGATCGGGTTCAGGTCCAGGCTCTGGCTGGGCCACTCAAGGACATTCAGAGATTTGTCCCGAAGCCACTCCTGCGTTGTCTTGGCTGTGTGCTTAGGGTCGTTGTCCTATTGGAAGGTGAATCTTCACCCCAGTCTGAGGTCCTGAGTGCTCCATTAATCTTTGCCTCGGTCCTGACTAGTCTCCCAGTCCCTGCCGCTGAAAACATCCCCACAGCATGATGCTGCCACCACCATGCTTCACCGTAGGGATGGTTCCAGGTTTCCTCCAGACGTGACGCTTGGCATTCAGGCCAAAGAGTTCAATCTTGGTTTCATCAGATCAGAGAAACTTGTTTGTCATGGTCTGAGTGTCTTTAGGTGCCTTTTGGCAAACTCCAAGCGGGCTGTCATGTGCCTTTTACTGAGGAGTGGCTTCCATCTGGCCACTCTACCATAAAGGCCTGATTGGTGGAGTGGTGCAGAGATGGTTGTCCTTCTGGAAGGTTCTCCCATCTCCACAGAGGAACTCTGGAGCTCTGTCAGAGTGACCATCGGGTTCTTGGTCAGCTCCCTGACCAAGGCCCTTCTCCCCCGATTGCTCAGTTTGGCTGGGCTGCCAGCTCTAGGAAGAGTCTTGGTGGTTCCAAACATCTTCCATTTAAGAATGATGGAGGCCACTGTGTTCTTGGGGACCTTCAATGTTGCAGACATTTTTTGTTACCCTTCCCCAGATCTGTGCCTCGACACAATCATGTCTCGGAGCTCTACGGACAATTCCTTCGACCTCATGGATTGGTTTTTCCTCTGACATGCACTTTTCAACTGTGGGACCTTATATACAGTGGGGAGAACAAGTATTTGATACACTGCCGATTTCGCAGGTTTTCCTACTTACAAAGCATGTAGAGGTCTGTAATTTTTATCATAGGTACACTTCAAATGTGAGAGACGGAATCTAAAACAAAAATCCAGAAAATCACATTGTATGATTTTAAAGTAATTAATTTGCATTTTATTGCATGACATAAGTATTTGATACATCAGAAAAGCAGAACTTAATATTTGGTACAGAAACCTTTGTTTGCAATTACAGAGATCATACGTTTCCTGTAGGTCTTGACCAGGTTTGCACACACTGCTGCAGGGATTTTGGCACCACTCCTCCATACAGACCTTCTCCAGATCCTTCAGGTTTCGGGGCTGTCGCTGGGCAATACAGACTTTCAGCTCCCTCCAAAGATTTTCTATTGGGTTCAGGTCTGGAGACTGGCTAGGCCACTCCAGGACCTTGAAATGCTTCTTACGGAGCCACTCCTTAGTTGCCCTGGCTGTGTGTTTCGGGTCGTTGTCATGCTGGAAGACCCAGCCACGACCCATCTTCAATGCTCTTACTGAGGGAAGGAGGTTGTTGGCAAAGATCTCGTGATACATGGCCCCATCCATCCTCCCCTCAATACGGTGCAGTCGTCCTTTCCCCTTTGCAGAAAAGCATCCCCAAAGAATGATGTTTCCACCTCCATGCTTCACGGTTGGGATGGTGTTCTTGGGGTTGTACTCATCCTTCTTCTTCCTCCAAACACGGCGAGTGGAGTTTAGGAAACGTATGATCTCTGTAATTGCAAACAAAGGTTTCTGTACCAAATATTAAGTTCTGCTTTTCTGATGTATCAAATACTTATGTCATGCAATAAAATGCAAATTAATTACTTTAAAATCATACAATGTGATTTTCTGGATTTTTGTTTTAGATTCCGTCTCTCACAGTTGAAGTGTACCTATGATAAAAATTACAGACCTCTACATGCTTTGTAAGTAGGAAAACCTGCAAAATCGGCAGTGTATCAAATACTTGTTCTCCCCACTGTAGATAGGTGAGTGCCTTTCCAAATCATGTCCAATCAATTGAATTTACCACAGGTGGACTCCAATCAAGTTATAGAAACATCTCAAGGATGATCAATGGAAACAGGATGCACCTGAGCTCAATTTCAATTCTCATAGCAAAGGGTCTGAATACTTATGTAAATTAGGTATTTCTGTTTTATATTTTTAGTAAATGTGCAAACATTTCTAAAAGCCTGTTTTCACTTTGTCATTCTGGGGTATTGTGTGTAGATTGCTGATTGCTGAGGATTTTTATTTATTTAATCCATTTTAGAATAAGGCTGTAACGTAACAAAATGTGGAAAAAGTCAAGGGGTCTGAATACTTTCCGAAGGCACTATAGATCAATTTTCCAGTAGGAGGTGCTGGCCAGCCTATTGCTTTTTGTTCTGATAGTGGATATAACGTTGAAGATCTGACGTTGTTTTAAAGGTACAATTTCAACATATGCTATACAAGGTTTGACATAAATCTGTGGTTGTAATTTCACCCTGAAAATGATGACTTTTTTCAAATCCAATGTATTTACCATGTTGATTCCACATCACAATATGTTGACAAATTACGTTGAAACAACATTGATTCAACCAGTGCGTGCCCAGTGGGTAGACAGCCAGTTTGAAATGTATAAATGGATGTCAGGAAAATTAGGTAATTAGGATTCACTGATGCAAACTTTTGTTTTTTTGCGAGGTTAAGGTTGACCAAATGTCTTTTGTCTTCAGATTCACATAAAGAAACCTATTTATTGTGGCTGGCCCCACACTGATGAGATCAACAATTGCTGTAAACTATTAAACTGACTGTTGTGTCCTGTTGTTCTCTTTCAGGTCTTGTGGAGGTCATAGAGCTAACAGAGTAAGCTTTGTTCCTCTCCTCCTCACAATCTACCCTCACTGTTTTACTATTTTTTGCACTATTCCACAGTTTTTGCATGTGAAGAAATACAGGTGTTGGCCTAAGCAAGTGATCAGTTGAAGTGGAAACATTCAAGTTTATGTTACTCATGTGTTTACCTCTTTGCTGAATAGAAACTAAGTTTCATAGCAATTCATAGTACTGTACTGCACATTCTGTCCCTGAAGACCTTGGAAACACAGTAACATCTGAAACTCTTAGCCTGGATTTGCTGACTTTTGAGACTGTTGTCTCCCCTCTCTCTCTCTCTCTCTCTCTCTCTCTCTCTCTCTCTCTCTCTCTCTCTCTCTCTCTCTCTCTCTCTCTCTCTCTCTCTCTCTCTCGCTCTCTCTCTCACTAAGAGCTTTAAGACTTTGGGCTCAAGATAAGCCTTCATACGCACAGATAAATGGTTGCAGATTGCGCTTACGTAGTGGGCCCATTTACTGTACTGCTGAAATTCCACTCAATGACTCGTGAAGTGGTGATTTGCAACTTGATGGCTCAATTCTGAAATATAAAATGATTATCTTTTATGTAAAAGGAAATTCACCTTCAATCCTAAGGAGGGAATAGACAACCCAGCAATGGTCATCTCAGATGATGCAGGTAGGCTACCCCTTTAGTGTTCTTCATTACACACCTCAATTCTTTCACCTCTACTGACGTTTTTGGAAAAAGACGATATACTATAGACTTTAACTTTAGACTATAGACTTTAGACTATAGACCTTAAATGTATGTCCACTGTTCCTTCTCCTATATAACTGTCCCCTGTAGAGCCTTGCTCAGGGCCCACACCGCGTCTCTGCATTCTTAAACGTGAAGAGGGTGAGTCCTTCAGCTTCCACCTGCGTGTGGAGAGGGGCTGCCTTGGTCATGTGATCAGACAGGTGACACCGTGGGGGGTGGCGGAGCGCGGTGGTCTCAGAGACGGGGATCGACTCCTGGAGGTCAATGAGAGCTTTGTGGATGACATCACACACCTAGAGGTCAGATGGCCGATGACCTAGAGCGACTTTTCAGGCGGATATAACCTAAAATATTGGTCATTATACACATATGTTTTGTTTGGATTTTACCCTGATTTTACCAGGTTTACCGTTGTAGTCAAAATACCAATTTTTCAAGAGAGACTTAGCCAGAATTGCACCTAGACTGAACATAACATTCTAACTTGTACAGTGGGAATCATAAGTATTCACCCCCTTGGATATTTTCACATTTTTTTACCTTACAAAGTGGGATTGAAATAGATCTCATTTAGATTTTTTGTCATTGATCTACACAAAATATTCCATAATGTCAAAGTGAAAAGAAAATTCTACAAATCTGTACAAATGAATAAAAAGTACAGTATATAACTAAAATATAGTCGTTGCATAAGTATTCACCCCCTTAGTTTAGGCAAGCCTAAATTAGTTCAGGAGTAACATTTGGCTAAACAAATCACATAATAAGTTACACGGACTCAGTCTGTGTGAAATAATAGGGGTTGACATTTTTTTTTATGACTACCCCTTCATCTGTCCCCCATGCATACAGCATCTGTAAGGTCCCTCAGTCAAGTATTGAATTTAAAGCACAGATTCAACTACAAAGACCAGGGAGCTTTTTGAAATCTTCATAAAGAAGGGCAATGATTGGTAGATGGGTAACAATAACAAATCGGACATTGAATATCTCTTTAAGAATGGTCAAGTTAATAATGATGCTGTGGATGACGTATTAAACCAGCCAGATACATCCAAGCTATAGTCATCCTTCTGAACTGAGCTGCAGGACAGGAAGGAATCTGCTCAGGGACGTCACCATGAGGCCATAGGTGATTTTAAAACAACGACAGAGTTCAATGGCTGTGATGGGAGAAAACTGAGGCTGGATCAACAACACTGTAGTGAATCCACAATAATGACCGAAATGACAGAGTGAAAAGAAGAATACAAATATATAGAATACAAATATTCCAAAACATGCATCCTGTATGCAACAAGGCACTAAAGTAATACCACAAAAAAACATGGCAAAGGTATACACTTTTTGGTCTAAATGCAAAGCCTTATGTTTTGGGGATAATCCCACACAACACATGACTGAGTAATTGCCTCCTTATTTTCAAGCATGGTGGTGGCTGCATCATGGTATGTAATGCTTGATATCTGCAAAGACTGGGTATAAAAAGAAACAGGATGAGGCTAAGGATCTCAGAGTCAAAATCCTAGAAGAAAACATGCTTCAGTTTGCTTTACACCAGACACTGGGAGAGGAATCCACCTTTCTGCAGGACAATAACCTACAACACAAGGCCACATCTATACTGGAGTTGCTTACCATAAAAACAGTGAATGTTCCTGTCAAGTTACAGTTTTTACTTAAATCTGCTTGAAAATATATGGCAAGACATCAAAATTGCTGTCTAGCCATGATCCCTAACACCTTGACAGAGCTTGAAGAATTTTGAAAACAATTTAGAAAACAATCCAGGTGTGCAAAGCTCTTAGAGACTTACCCAAGAAGACCCAGTAATCATTGCCAAATGTGTTTCTAACATGTATTGAATCAGAAGGGTGAATACTTATCAAATCAAGGTATATTAGTATTTTATCTTTCATTAATATAAAAAAAAAAGACAATTAAATCAATTTTAGTCCCACTTTGTAACACAATAAAATGTGAAGGGGGGTGAATACGTATGATACCCACTGTATGTCTGTCTTTGTCTCTGTGTGTGAGTCAGGTGGCCATGCGTATAAAGCTTAGTGGGCGCCAGCTGTGTCTGCTGGTGTTGGATGGAGAGGAGTACGACCAGGCGGTGTCACAGGGTCATGACCTCCAGGCCCTAGCCAGAACACACAGGGGAGAGGGCTGCAGCCCACCCAGGCTCTGCCACATCATCAGAGACACAGCCTCAGGCCTTGGAGTCAACTTCCTGCCTGTGGAAGGTACGCGAGACTGCAGTTGAGAGGAAATTGATACAAATGATGAAATTATTAATTAATCAGCATCAGAGTTAATTGGTTGGTCCTAGAATGGTTGTTGACTTTGTGTCATGCCATGTGAACCCCCTCTAGGGGAGAAGGGCCAGATCTCAGTGAGCCTGTTGAGTGGGGGTCCGGCCGAGAGAGCGGGGGTGCGTCGGGGAGACCGCCTGTTGTGGATCGATGGTGACACGGTGTCAGAGCTCACACACTCTGTTCTCAGCAAGATGGTAGGTGGACTTGGACAAACAGACCTCCCTCCACTGTATGGACCAGCCTTTGAGCAATCTGGGTCACGTTCATTAGGGCAAGAAAACATTTTGAAATGGAAAATGAAAACCAGCGGCTCTTATTGGACAAGTCCAGATAGTCGCTCCCTGTTTCAAGCCCTTTTTCTTCGTTTTGTGCCTAATGAACATGACCGGTCTGATACAGCTTGTCCATGTATTGTGTGCAGGTGAAGAAGTGCAGGGACCACATGACCATCCTGGTGATTGACAGTGAGAGTGAGCAGAGCTATGCCCGCAGGCGGATGCCAATCCTGCCCACCCTGGCTGGTTCCCACCACAACCTGCCCCATACACCCAGGAAACTCCATCTGGTCCCTGGGCCCGAGGGGTATGGCTTCCTCCTCAGAGAGGAGATGACCCCATCAGGGTGCAAAGGTCAGAGGGATGATGAAATATGTACAAACAAACTCAACTATGCATACCATATGCAGGAAATAGCTATGACACAAGCAATAGCATCAACTATATGGAAAAAACAAGACACACACACACATGCACAGCACACATTCACAAACCCATACACATATATCTATAATCCAGATTGTAACCGTCAGTGTATGTATGTGAAATGCTTTCCTTCTTTAGCCCACGTAATGCGTGAGGTAGACCAAGGCAGCCCGGCTGAGGAGGCAGGCATTGAGGAAGGAGACCTGCTACTGGAGGTCAATGGAGAGGCAGTGGAGTCACTGGGCCATGAGGACATAGTGGACAGAGTACGGAAGAGTGGCCAACAGGTCACCCTTACCACCATCACAGCCAGTGGCCAAGAGTTTTACACGCAGGTAGCTGTGAGCACAGTCATCCCAAGTGTGTGTGTGTTTGTAGCAACGTGCATGCCCCGCCCATATGAGGATTTGTCTTTTTCAGACATCCATTTCCTGTGTTTGAGGGGTGCAAAATCCACTTGTCACTTAAATCTCGCTGGATTGATTGCTTTCATTTTACTCCTCCGACTCTTTCATACTCCTGCTTGTGCCTGTCGTTTTTCTGTTAACGTTACGACTGCGGAAATGTTTGTAATGACCTGTCAAACATCCTGGTAATGGCTGAAATGTGCTCAATGGAATACATTGTCTTTCAAGAATGCTAAAGATTCATCTGGGATTTTAAGCACCGTCTCGATCACTTACATCACAAAATAGAGAAGAACTTTAATTTGATGGGTGTTCATTTTTTGTGTAATTAAAAAAAATAATCATTTATTACAGTTGAAATGTTTACAAATTAAATGCACTGAAATGAAAGCAACTTCTGAAAATGAACACTCGGATTATAGTGATAATATGTCTGATCTCTCAAACAATTTTTAGATTGGTGTAAACTAGAGTCAAGCGTGTTGATTTTTAATCCGAGGGTAAATGGCATATTATTATTATTATTATTATTATTATTATTATTATTATCCTGCTATTGACACACTTGTTGAATTATGCAACTCTGTTCCACCCCTTTATGTTAATGTTTTAATATATGCAAATACACCCATTGTGTTTATGCAAATTAGGCACATATAGTTTTCTTTATTGTAACACAAAATATATAAAAAATTACCTGATACAATAACAACATGTGTGCATTCTAAGAAAAATTAATAAATTGAATACCTGAATTTCCACCAAAATCCCTGAATTCCATTCATTATTAGTCCGTGCCAGTAAAATGATTTATGTGCTATAATTCAGTCAATATATGATGGATTATACAATTTCTAAATTTTGGAGTATCTTCCATTGTCCAACTGTTGCATTTATTAGAATTGTTTTTAAAAACGTTTAACAACTTTGTAGACCGTTGATAGTGTTTGTGTGGTAGGGCTTAATAAACGTCCTTGACTAAAGGGTTCCAGGTTAAATTATAACCAGAGTAAGCAGACATTAAACATTTAAAGTACATATAATGAGCTAATGATTGTTCTCTTTGTTATGTACCCTATTTTACTCCATTCAGTTGGATCTATCCCCTCTGCTCTTCTGTGGGAGTAATGCAGTTGAACAGGTAAAGGAAAAGGAGAACCTAGCCCCACCACCACTCCCAGTTGTAGTGGAGGTTCCAAAGGAAGAACCAGTGGTGCTGCCCACTGTGCCTAGTCCACGACTTTGTGTTCTCCAGAAAGGACCTCTGGGTTTCGGCATCAACTTGGGCTGTTTCCAGGACACCCCTGGAACCTTTGTAAGCCAGGTAGGGCACCGTAGGACACTCATGGGCACACACTAGCTGTTGGGCAGCAATAGGCTTACTAAAGATGTGATGTCTCCAGCAGTGAGATGAGAAAATTAAGTTTTTTACTCAAACCAGAGATTACACTGAATTATTGTATTTACAAGGAGCTGAGAAGAATTATATTTCTTATAAAATGTAAGGTAAAAAGGTCCAATGGAGCTGTTTTGATCTCAATTTCAAATCATTTCTGGGTAAACATTTTTTCTATTAAAATGGTCAAAAAGAAACAAAAATAGCTTCTTAGCAAAGAACAATTGCTCAAGCAAAATTTTTGCTAGGACTGTCTGAGAGTGGTCTGAGTGAGGGGCCTAATTGGACGAGTCTAATGGGAGGGATATAAAACCTGAAAACTAGCTGTTATTGGCAGAGAGGTTTGAAACTCTCTTTGTTATTGGTCTATTAACTTATACCGCCTGGTGATGTCGCCAGGCAGGCCAAAACTACATCCCACCAAAACAGGCAGATATTTTGGGTGGTCTTTTCAAACAGCTCTTACACCAAAACGGCACTATCATCATTTTCATAATTTCCCAGTATTATTCCAACCTCATAGTGTGGAAATATATATAAAACACAGGAAAATTACAATTTTGACTGCACTGGGCCTTTAAAGAGGTGAAATTAGACAGTTGATGGCCTTCTAATACGGAAATTATGTCGATTTTTTGGGGTCCTCTAGGTGGCACTGGGGGGCTCTGGGAGTAGAGCAGGACTACAGGTAGGGGACGTGGTGATGGAGGTGAACGGACAGAACATGGAGGAGAATTGTCTGGAGGATGTGATGGTTCTGGTTCAGGAGGGAGGACATTATCTCTCTCTTCTGGTTGTGGAGAAGAGTGGGTACAACAAGCTCGAACAGAGCCAGAGCCCCTTCGCTACTGTAGAGGCTACGGTGAGAGAACATGTCCTTAGGAGATTGTACTGTAGCCTATGTATTTATTATCTTTAATAAATTATCACATCTAATTGATCTTGTTATTTACCTCTACAGATGGAGGAGGAAACTGATGTGAAATCTGCCCTGTGAGTGACCGAAAATGACCCAAGCACCTGTATATCTGAGAGCGTATACTAGGACCCATACTCATCCAGCATCATTGCCACTAAAGGGTAAAGAAAGTGTTAACCCCTGTAGGTAATAGAAGTGGTCTAAATATGATTCAAACTCAATCTGAGGGAGATGATACAAAAACTATTTCTGTGAGGAGGCATGTCTTTAGAGGGTCCAGATGATGACCCCGATGAAGAGCACAACCACAGCTGCCAGAAACCAACCCCAAAAGACAGAAGAGATCTTGGTCTCAACTTGAACCACACAATCTGCTGTGCTATGGATCAAGACGAAGAAAATACCTAAATAAAGTGGTAGATATCAGTATTGTAACCTCTATCCATGAAGATCGACTGTAGGTTGTTATCCTATTAGATTATTGTTGTTTGATTCATGTATTTAAACTTGAATATGTTGATGTAATTTGGCCTGAACTTGGAACTTATGTATTTTACAACATTGAACATGAATATTCTATATGATGCTACCTGAAACAGCAAATGAATAATGACTGCAGAATTGGAAGTTTTATCTCCCTCTATTATTTGTCTTTCTCACCAAGAATGGAAATAGGCATAATACAGTGCCTTCAGAAAGTATTCACACCCCTTGACTTTTTCCACATTTTGTTGTGTTACAGCATGAATTTAAAATGGATTTACAGAATAAAACTATTCCTAAAACATGCATCCTGTTTGCAACAAGGCACTTAAGTAATACAGCAAAAAATGTGGCAAAGCAATTCATGTTTTCGCCTGAATACAAAGTGTTATGTTTGGGGCAAATCCAATACAACACATTACTGAGTACCACTCTTCATATTTTCAAGCATAGTGGTAGCTGCATCATGTTATGAGTATGCTTGTAATCGTTAAGGACTGGGGATAAAAAATTAACAGAATGGAGCTAAGCACAGGCAAAATCCTAGAGGAAAACCTGGTTCAGTCTGCTTTCCACCAGAGTTACAGTTTTGACTTAAATCTGCTTGAAAATCTATGGCAAGACTTGAAAATGGTTATCTAGCAATGATCACCAACACATTTGACAGAGCTTGAAGAATTTTGAAAAGAATAATGGCAAATATTGTACATTCCAGGTGTGCAAAGCTCTAAGAGACTTACTCAGAAAGACTCACAGCTGTAATCGCTGCCAAAGGTGATTCTAACAAGTATTGACACAGGGGTGTGAATACTTATGTAAATTACATATTTCTGTATTTCATTTTCAATAAATGTGCAAACATTTCTAAAAACATGCTTTCACTTTGTAATTTAGGGGTATTGTGTGTAGATGCGTGAGATTTTCTATTTATTTAATTAATTTTGAATGCAGTCTGTAACAACAAAATGAGGAATAAGTCAAAGGGTATACATAGGCCTGTATATAAATGCAACAAAGAAACAATAAGCTTAGCATTTTTTACATTCAGACTTACAAATAATATGTTATAAGGCCAATATGCCTCACAATTGATTAATATTATAGATCCCCAAGCCCTGAGTGCATCCTTTCCCCCATCTGCTCTGATATAACAAATAACATCGGTGAAAGCAATATGGCAGAAGTCTGCTATAGGGATATGTGTGTACCTATCCAGTGCTTTTTCAGATCAGATATAGTGGAAGGAAAGTGTGGAGATTTACTCACACTGGGTTCAATTTGTTACAGTCTGTTGTTGCCATGAAAAACTGATTTTTCACCTTTGAGTAAGAGAAAGATTAGGTGGGGGGAAAGAATAAGAAGCACACACTAGTTTACATCAATTCAGTGTCCATGCGTTACATGAGGCAGCGCTGCAGCTATTTCTGTTCAGGCAATTCATAAGGCAGCCCCACTTGAAGGGTCCTTCCAGCTAAAGGTGACATTCGCAGTTGCAGCGGACAAGCCGGTTAGAGAAGTCATAACAATTACTCAAAAATAAAGCATCATGGCACAGGCAGTCCAGAAACTGGTGGCCAAAGTACCTACTTTGATCGGAGGTAAGTCTAATTATTTTGTTTGGACATTAGCTAAACGTTGACGCTATTAAAACATGCATGTTATTGCAGTCCGGCTGATAGTCAAGCGTGCCTGGTTTAGCTGGCTATGCTAACTACATATCCTTCCGGCTGCAGCTAACTACTCAAATTTGATAGCTAACTAACGATTGACAACGAACAAACCGTCACCCCTTAATCTCGAATTAAAACGTCTCTCCAGATGAACGTTAGCTAGCTAGCTATATGACGTTACTCATTTTAGTACTGTAGTTAGTAACTAACGTTACTAAATTAACCTGTTAGCTAACTGGCTAACGGTAACTACCTAATGATGTAGTCACAGATTAATATTTGATGTAGGCAGTTAGCTAAATGTCAACCTCAGTTGTTTTTGACAATCTGAGTCACCTGACCTAGCTCTCACCTGTAGTCTGATTTAATCCGGCTGTAATACACAATTAATTGTTATATACAGCCTGACGCAAATACGTACAAAATTCGTGTAAATGGACGGCAGGTAGCCAAGCGGTTAGTGTTGGGCCAGTATCCGAAAGGTCGCTGGTTCGAACACCCTAACAACAAAGTGAAAAATCTGTTATGCCCTTGAGTAAGGCACTTAACCCTAATGTGCTCCAGGGGCGCCATACTACTATGGGCTGACCCTGTAAAACAACACATTTCACTGGATGGCAGATAGATAGATAGATAGATAGATAGATATATAGTACCAGTCAAAAGTTTGGACACCTGCTCATTCAAGGGTTTTTCTTAATTTTAACTCTTTTTTTTATTTTTATTTTTACGTTGTAGAATAATAGTGAACACATCAAAACTATGAAATAACACATGGAATCATGTAGTAACCAAAAGTGTTAAGCAAATGAAAATATATTTGAGATTCTTCAAATAGCCACCCTTTGCCTTGATGACAGCTTTGCACACTCTTGGCATTCTCTCAACCAGCTTCACCTGGAATGCTTTTCCAAACAGTCTTGAATGAGTTCCCACATGCTGAGCACTTGTTGGCTGCTTTTCCTTAACTCTGCCGCCTGACTCATCCCAAACCGTCTCAATTGGGTTGAGATCGGGGGATTGTGGAGGCCAGGTCATCTGATGCAGCACTCCATCACTCTCCTTCTTGGTAAAATAGCCCTAGAGGTGTGTTGGGTCATTGTCCTGTTGCAAAACAAATGATAGTCCCACTAAGCCCAAACCAGATGAAGGCTTGATTCACACAGTGTCCTCTGAACAGTTGATGTTGGTGTCTGTTACTTGAACTCTGTGAAGCATTGATTTGGGCTGCAATCTGAGGTGCAGTGAACTGTAATGAACTTATCCTCTGCAGCAGAGGTAACTCTGGGTCTTCCTTTCCTGTGGCGGTCCTCATCAGAGCCAGTTTCATCATAGCGCTTGATGGATTTTGCGACTGCAAAGTTCTTGACATTTTCCAGATTGACTGACCTTCGTCTTAAAGTAATGATGGACTGACTGTCATTTCTCTTTGCTTATTTGAGCTGTTCTTGCCATAATATGGACTTGGTCTTTTACCAAATAGGGCTATCTTCTGTATACCCCCCCCCCCCCTACCTTGTCACAACACTGATTGGCTCAAACGCTTTAAGAAAATTCCACAAATTAACTTTTAAACAAGGCACACCTGTTAATTGAAATGCATTCCAGGTGACTACCTCATGAAGCTGGTAGAGAGAATGCCAAGAGTGTGCAAAGCTGTCATCAAGGCAAAGGGTGGCTACTTTGAAGAATCTCAAAAAATATTTGATTTAACACTTTTTTTTGGTTACCACATGATTCCATATGTGTTATTTCATGGTTTTGATGTCTAAACTATTATTCTACAATGTAGAAAATAGTAAAAATAAAGAAAAACCCTGGAATGAGTAGGCCTGTCCAAAATTGACTATGTGCGTGTATGTATGTGTGTATATATATATATATATATATATATTAGTGTGTGTTTTATTTTATTTCTCTTTACAAGCCAGGTTGTCTGTGCGGTTTGTCCTTCAACAGGTCGAAATATGGTTCGGTTTGGCACTGAGGCATAGTTAGTTTTATATTTGTCAATGGCTATCAATCCTCAAAGAAATCAAAAATGTTTTTAAAAAGGTGATCGTTCTCCACGCTCCTCTAATTCAGAATATACCATTTTCATTGTCATAGCATACTTGGTTCAATAACTATTGACAAGAACCTCATATCCAATAAAACGTACTTTACTTCGGTGCCGACACATGTAGAACCGAATCATATACCGGCTCTCTAAAAAGTTGGTTAAACGATACTTTCCTGTGGATATTTTGTCTCAAATTTCAAGCAGCTGAAGGACAAAAGACAAACTGTAAAGTTTAAATGTAATTTTATTAAACATTCTGGCTTGTAGGGAATATTTACACGATGTTGCAGGTATTTGCTTCAGGCTGTATATACCAATTAATTGTATCTCGCCTGTAAACTCATTTTTATGCTGGCTAGCTATGTTTCTTGTCTAGCTTGACCCAGCAGCGTGCAGCAGAGGACACATTTCATGACATGTACATTGTTTTTTCAGCCGCTGCCACCTACACCAAGCCCCGTCTAGCGACCTTCTGGCACTATGCTAAAGTCGAGCTTGTGCCCCCTTCCCCTGCCGAGATTCCCCAGGCCATTGTTGGCATCAAAAACATCCTCACCGGTGTCAACAGTGGACGCCTTGGACAGACCACAGTGAAGGTGAAAACTGAGAAGATTGCTTGAGTGTGAATTACTGTATAAGTAGCTAGCTAATTCTTTATTTTGCCCATTGGACTCTGACTGTGGGTGTTGTGACCTATCCAAAATCTAACAAGTAGTCCCTTCATAAACAAAAATAAGTGCTTAAGATTGACGTAAGCCACAATCCACTAGAGTAAACATTAGGCCTACACCCTAACCATTTGGGAAATATGGAATTGTCTCTTGTCCCCTGAATATATTCACATGTTGTTTTAAGGTGTGACTTGCTGGTATTTGTGTGGCATTAATCTCAATATGCTTTTGTTACAGGATGCATTCAGAAATGGATTGGTGTGCACTGAAGTGTTGATGTGGTTCTACATTGGAGAGTGCATCGGGAAAGGAGGCATTGTTGGATACGCCGTTTAAATCTGACTGTCTTGTTGCTCTGCTGAGTGTTATATGCTCTTAACTTCCACCTCCAAACTGTGGAGATCCAATTAATAAATGTATATTGTTTAAAGAACTTTAGCACTGTGTAACGTGGAACATTTACAACTCTATCATATTTTGTTTGACACTACAGGACTGCTATCAAAAATATTGAAGTTGCCAACTTTCTTCTGAGACGTTTTAGTGGAACATATACTGAACAAAAATAGAAACGCAACAATTTTAAGATTTTACTGAGTTAATCAGTCAATTGAAATAAATTCATTAGGCCCTAATCTATGGATTTCACATGACTGGGAATACAGGTATGCATCTGTTGGTCACCGATACCTTAAAATGGGCCTCACGATCTTGTCACGGTAGGTTTGTGTATTCAAATTGCCAATCGATAAAATGCAATTGTGTTTGTTGTCCGTAACTTATGCCTGCCCATACCATAACCCCACCCCCAGGGGCACTGTTTACAAAGTTGACATCAGAAAATCGCTCAACCGTACACGTGGTCTGCGGTTGGACGGACTGCCAAATTCTCTAAAACGACGTTGCCTCCAACTTATGGCTTATGGTAGAGAAATGAACATTCAATTCTCTGGCAACAGCTCTGGTGGACATTCCTGCAGTCAGCATGCTCCCTCAACTTGACAACTGCACATTTGAGTGGCCTTTTGTCCCCAGCACAAGGTGCACGTGTGTCATGAGCATGCTGTTTAATCAGCTTCTTGATATGCCACACCTGTCAGGTGGATGGATTTTCTTGGCAAAGGAGAAATGCTCACTAACAGGGAAACAAAATGAGCGCAATAAGCTTTTTGTGCGTATGGAACATTTCTGGGATATTTTATTTCATCTCATGAAACATGGGACCAACACTTTACATGTTGCGTTTATTTTTGTTCAGTGTATTTATAAAAGTAGACATTTCAACAATTTGTATACACACACAAAATCCAAGTGCAGTTGAAGGTTGACAAAGATTTAATTTCTGGTTACTTTTGCCACCTCAACTCTGGAAAGGGGGTAGAATTATGTTTAGTAAAAGCACAAATGCAGCTGTATGCTGATTGGTTAAAGTTAGACATTCCTGTGCGTGGTGAAGTCACAAAGCGTTTGCAGAGCCTTTGACTACAGAAAGTGTCAAGTGGAGTCTAAATCCAACCTTCGATAGATGAAGCTTGGGTTTGGGACGATATTAAGTAATGATAGACATCTCCTCTCGCTCCCGGCTCTCTGACAGTGTTTGCACAATGTTCTCCAAGTACCTGCGGAACCCCTGGCGCACACCCTCAGGATCTTCCTCCAGGTTAGAGTGACTCAATGGTAACCTGTTCAAATGCGAAGCTACACACACACACAAAAACATGTGAAAGAAATCCAACTGACAATTGTGTCCTCATTATTGGTATGAATTGAAAAGCAGTGGTGTATGTCCTGGCTTTAAAAGCCCAGTACAGTCAAATGTGATTTCCTGTGTTTTATATATTTTTCTACACAGGTTGCAATAATATACTGTGAAAATGACATTGTCGTTTTAGTTTAAGGGCTGTTTTAAAAGACTGCCTGAAATTTCCGCCTGTTTTGGTGGGATGGAGTTTTGGCCTTCCTGGTGACATCACTAGGTGGTATAAGTTAATAGACCAATAACAGCTAGTTTTCAGGTTTTATATACCTCCCATTAGGCTCATCCAATTAGGTCCCTCACTCAGACAGTCCTAGCTAAAATCTTGCTCGAGAAATTGCTATTTGCTAAGAAGCTATTTATGACCATTTTATTTGGAAAAAAACAACAGTAAGGTACTTAATTGTTATCCAGAAATGATTTGATATTGAGAACTGCTACATTGGTCCTTAAGTGGCATGATGACAAATGGCATGTACAGTCGTGGTCAAGTTTTGAGAATGACACGTACATTTTCACCAAGTCTGCTGCCTCAGTTTTTATGATGGCAATTTGCATATACTCCAGAATGTTATGAAGAGTGATCAGATGAATTGCAATTAACTGCAAAGTCCCTCTTTGCCATGAAAATGAACTTGATCCCCAAAAAAACATTTCCACTGCATTTCAGCCCTGCCACAAAAGGACCAGCTGACATCATGTCAGTGATTCTCTCGTTAACACAGGTGAGAGTGTTGACGAGGACAAGGCTGGAGATCACTCTGTCATGCTGACTGAGTTAGAAATAACAGACTGGAAGCTTTAAAAGGAGGGTGGTGCTTGAAATCATTGTTCTTCCTCTGTTAACCATGGTTACCTGCAAGGAAACATGTGCCGTCATCATTGCTTTGCACAAAAAGGGCTTCACACGCAAGGATATTGCTGCTAGTAAGATTGCACCTAAATCAACCATTTATCAGATCATCAAGAACTTCAAGGAGAGAGGTTCAATTGTTGTGAAGAAGGCTTCAGGGCGCACAAGAAAGTCCAGCAAGCGCCAGGACCGTCTCCTAAAGTTGATTCAGCTGCGGGATCGGGGCACCACCACTGCGGAGCTTGCTCAGGAATGGCAGCAGGCAGGTGTGAGTGCATCTGCAAGCACAGTGAGGCGAAGACTTTTGGAGGATGGCCTGGTGTCAAGAAGGTCAGCGAGGAAGCCACTTCTCTCCAGGAAAAACATCAGGGACAGATTGATATTGTGCAAAAGGTACAGGGATTGGACTGCTGAGGACTGGGGAAAGTCATTTTCTCTGATGAATCCCCTTTCCGATTGTTTGGGGCATCCGGAAAAAAGCTTGTCCGGAGAAGACAAGGTAAGCGCTACCATCAGTCCTGTGTCATGCCAACAGTAAAGCATCCTGAGACCATTCATGTGTGGGGTTGCTTCTCAGCCAAGGGAGTGGGCTCACTCACAATTTTGCCTAAGAACACAGCCATAAATAAAGAATGGTACCAAGACATCCTCTGAGAGCAACTTCTCCCAACCATCCAAGAACAGTTTGGTGACAAACAATGCCTTTTCTAGCATGATGGAGCACCTTGCCATAAGGGAAAAGTGAAAACTAAGTGGCTTGGGGAACAAAAAACATCGAAATGTTGGGTCCATGGCCAGGAAACTCCCCAGACCTTAATCCCATTGAGAACTTGTGGTCAATCCTCAAGAGGCAGGTGGACAAACAAAAACCCACAAACTCCAAGCATTGATTATGCAAGAATGGGCTGCCATCAGTCAGGATGTGGCCCAGAAGTTAATTGACAGCATGCCAGGGCGAATTGTAGAGGTCTTGAAAAAGAAGGGTCAACACTGCAAATATTGACTCTGCATAAACTTAATGTATTTGTCAATAAAAGCCTTTAACCCTTATGGAATGCTTGTAATTATACTTCAGTATACCATAGTAACATCTGACAAAAATATCTAAAAACACTGAAGCAGCAAACTTTGAAGACCAATACTTGTGTCATTCTCAACTTTTGACCACGACTGTACTCGAACAAGGTTCCTTTAGCAGCAGGGGCATTGGAAATATATGTCATTCAAAGGAAAGACGCTCCTACACAGTGCACTAGAAAAAAAGATACATAATGTAACAAGCTTGTTGATAATTAGTCCTACCTAGGTTGGGTCGTCCGTTATCTACTCCACTGCCAGGCTTGTGGTGGGCCATCAGCAGACACTGGCTGTCCTGCAGCCCCTGTGAGGAGATGAACATGGAGTACCATGTCTCTACTTCCGTTAGGTGGCGTGGCATGTCTGGGTTGAACACTATCACCACACCGTTGGAGTCTTTCATCAACGCTGGCCAGCATGACTCAAACCTGCATCAGAAGAGTAGTTGGTAGAATGGTAGCTTTGATTCGATTGACATAACTGCAATGCAGTACTCTTGTTTTGCTGTGAATGATGATGGCCAGATTAATAAATTACACTACTGAACCGGTTATTTGACTAATTCTGTGAGCGAGTTTCTGTGTTAGATGTACAGTTCAACTGTGAAATGGGCTTGAAAAGTGTTTGAAATAGCCCTATTGGTCCTTACTTGAAATCACCAGCACAGTCCCAAAGTTCCACCTCACATGTCCAGGATTTGTCCCCACTTCCCTCATTCTGAGATTCGAACTCCAGTATCCTTGGAACAACACAACAATGGTTAAATGGTGCACAAGCCATCATTTGGAGTTGTAGACATCTACCAAGCTTTTGCTGAATGATTGATTGACAAATAATCTGATGCTGGGACTGGGAGATATGAGTCTTCAATTTACCTGACACCTTGAGTAGGACAGTACTCCCCTCCTACTGTCTCCACTGTGTCAGAGAGAAAGTTGGCTAGAACAGTTTTTCCAGACTGAAACACATTGGAAGATCTGTTTCATCAATTTTCACTGGAGAGATAGCTAGCAATATCTTGTATTACAACCCATCTAACCTAGACTGGTCCCACATCTGTTTGTACTCTTGTCAACTCCATTGCTGTAATTGTCAAGAGAGTGTTTGGAATGCCAATTCCATAAGGAGTTGTCAAAGAAAGCAGAAACAGACTCGCACCCAGGCTACATCTTACCAACGAATCCAAACAATTAATCAATGCTAGCCAGCTCAAGCCAGCCACAAAAATATATACACACAAGCCCAAGGTTGCAGAAAATAGCTCTTTCGTCTTACCTCACTTGGTCCAATTAAAAGTATTTTTGCTTTAAACATCTCCCCTTCTCTTGTGTTGATAGCTTCTCCAGATTAGCTAGCTGCTAGCGGGCTAACGTTAGCTAATTAGCAGTACCAAGCTGCTAAATGCAAGCTACTCAACAATGAGAAAAGGTAGATAGCTAGCTTTTAAAACAATATGCAAACTTTCTTCTAATTCCAATACTTTCTAGTTCTAGCACGATATATAGCTAACACATGCAACGTAAAACATCCCTTGCTAACTAGCTAGTGATGACGTGTGTAAACATATTCGTCATCTCTATGGTTTCCAAGGCAGACAGGGTTGCCAGGTCTTGCAGAAATGTCAAGAACAATGACCACTCAAAAACGGCCATCAAATCCTGTCAATTTGAACTTTTCTTTTTCTGTACTATTTCTTTTCTGCAGCAACAGGAGATTCCACTATATCCAATAAATCATTTTCCATAACGTTATCGAGCGAATTAAGAAGGAATATCGACGTAATTTGTATCGACGTCTCCATCAAAAAATTATTCTTGACAGTTTAACGTGAAGTTAAAAGAATTTGACTATGTTACAAGAGAAAATATAATTCAACCCTATTAAACTCCCCACGTTATGTTCCATTAATGTATGTCGATTTAAAGTGGAACTGACAGCGTTTTAGCAACATTAAATCTTATTCAAATCTGTTCATATACATCTCCAGGAATAATATGACCCTTTATTATTCTTATTATTTTTGACATTTTCTGACAAGTGAGCAATTGGTCTTTTTCATATTGTCATAAATTCAGAGAATGTTTGGGGATTATGGATACTAAGGGTGTGTTTGTAAATTCAATATAAGGTCCCACAGTTGACAGTGCATGTCAGAGCAAAAACCAATCCATGAGGTCGAAGGAATTGTCCGTCGAGCTCTGAGACAGGATTGTGTCGAGGCAAAGATCTGTGGAAGGGTACCAAAAAATGTCTGCAGCATTGAAGGTCCCCAAGAACACAGTGGCCTCCATCATTCTTAAATGGAAGAAGTTTAGAACCACCAAGACTCTTCCTACAGCTGGCCACCCGGCCAAACTGAGCAATCGGGGGAGAAGGGCCTTGGTCAGGGAGATGAACAAGAACCCGATGGTCACTCTGACAGAGCTCTAGAGTTCCTCTGTGGAGATGGGAGAACCTTCCAGAAGGACAGCCATCTCTGCAGCACTCCACCAATCAGGCCTTTATGGTAGTGGCCAGACGGAAGCCACTCCTCAGTAAAATGCACATGACAGCACGCTTGGAGTTTGCCAAAAGGCACCTAAAGGACTCTCAGACCATGAGAAACAAGATCCTCTGGTCTGATGAAACCCAGATTGAACTCTTTGGCCTGAATGCCAAGTGTCATGTCTGGAGGAAACCTGGCACCATCCCTACGGTGAAGCATGGTGGTGGCAGCATCATGCTGTGGGGATGTTTTTCAGCGGCAGGGACTGGGAGACTAGTCAGGATCGAGGAGCAAAGTACAGAGAGATCCTTGATGAAAACCTGCTCCAGAGCGCTCAGGACCTCAGACTGGGGTAAAAGTTCACTTCCAACAGGACAATGACCCTAAGCACACAGCCAAGACAACGCTTCGGGACAAGTCTCTGAATGTCTGTGAGTGGCCCAGCCAGAGCCCGGACTTGAACCCGATTGAACATCTCTGGAAGGACCTGAAAATAGCTGTGCAGCGACGCTCCCCATTCATCCTGACAGAGCTTGAGCGGATCTGCAGAGAAGAATGGGAGAAACTTCCCAAATACAGGTGTGCCAAGCTTGTAGCATCATACCCAAGAAGTCTCGAGGCTGTAATCGCTGCCAAAGGTGCTTCAACAAAGTACTGAGTAAAGGAATACTTATGTAAATGTGATATTTCAGTTTTGTTTTTTTAATACATTTGCAAGAATTTCTAAAAACCTGTTTTGCTTTGTCATTATGGGGTATTGTGTGTATATTGATGAGGGAAAAAAACAATTTAATCAATTTTAGAATAAGGCTTTAACGTAACAATATGTGGAAAAAAGTCTAGGGGTCCGAATAGGGGAGACCGGGGTTGGATTTAACACGGGATAGTTGTAACAATTGCAATTCCTCCAATCAGGAGCGAGGTGAAATCATGTGATTGACTGTGCACATGCTCAGTTTAGTCCTGAACCCTCATGTGAAAAAGCAAGTCCCTGTGATAAACTCTGCAGATTCTATTGACAGAAATCTGATTTTGAGGTAAGAAAGTAAATATTTTGACCAAATGTGTTTTTGTGATGGCATCAACTGCTTTGTAGTTCCATTCACCAAACTTATATCAGGTTTATAACCAGTCTTTGTAGAGATATTTGATACAAGTTAGCAATGCTAAAGTTCTAACATTTAGCTAAAATGGAAGCTAGCTATTGGCTGCAAGGGTTGGGGTTAGTTGTAACAACTTGTGAGAAAATTTTACAACTAACCCCGAGTAAAACTGAATGTTTTTCGTGCATGTTTTGTTTTACTTTCAGCATGCCTAGATCATGTAGAAGAAAGACAGACAGGGGAGTACCTCTCCACAGAAAAGAGCGTCAGATGATGTAGCACACCTTGGGAAGTCAATCAGATCGTTTGCAAAGTTGTATGGCATATGTCATGTGACGATGTACAGATTCTGCAAAGAGAGAAAGAAGCTACTGGAGAAGTGGTCGCGAGAGCTTCCTCATGTTGGCTAATGTTGTGGAAACAGGGTCTTCATTGTTGAGCAGGAGGAGAAGCTGTCACAGTATCTCTTGAGGGCAGCTGATTTATATTATGGATTGTCTCCCTGTGAGGTAAGCACTTGATAGGAATTAGTGAGGAGTAAGTCGGGGAAAAGTTTGCAGTTAATGTTGGAGGCAATTAAGGTGAAGGGAAGGAGTACTAATGTAAATTATTAATGTAAAGTATTAATTGGGGGAAGTATTGAACATATTTTATTATATTATTACAGGTCAGGAAATTTGCCTACCAACTCGCTGTACAATATGGTTACAAGCATCCTCAGTCCTGGGATGAGACCTCTATGGCAGGAGCAGACTGGTTCTCGTCTTACCTAAAGTGGCACCCTACTCTCTCCATTAGGAGCGCTGAAGCAACTAGTCTGTTGCGGGCCACAAGTTTCAACAAAACAAATGTGGGAGAGTTTTTCAACAAACTAGGAGAGGTGATAAATAAATACAGCTTTGATGGCAATGACATATGGAATGTTGACGAGACAGGAATAACCACAGTACAAACACCTGATAGAGTGGTTGCGAAACATGGCACTAAACAGGTTGGAGCAATCACATCAGCAGAAAGGGGTACACTAGTGTCAATGACATGTGCTATAAATGCAATAGGAAACTCAATCCCCCAACTTTTGTTTTCCCACGTAGGCCACCTCTCCAGCTGCCTTCCAGCCCACCTCTCCAGCAGCCTTCCAGGCCACCTCTCCAGCTGCCTTCCAGCCCACCTCTCCAGCAGCCTTCCAGGCCACCTCTCCAACTGCCTTACAGGCCACCTCTCCAGCAGCCTTCCAGGCCACCTCTCCAACTGCCTTACAGGCCACCTCTCCAACTGCCTTCCAGGCCACCTCTCCAACTGCCTTCCAGGCCACCTCTCCAACTGCCTTCCAGGCCACCTCTCCAGCCACTTCACAGGGCACCTCCCCACATGTATCAGGCTGTGGCTGAGAAACACCTGATTACTCTTCTGGTTTCAACCCTTCCCAAAAGCAGGGCCCAGGAAAATTACAAAACTGCGATTTTGACGGATACCCCGTCAATCAGGCACTGGAAGAAGAGCATAAAAATCTAGCACTCAGAAGGCAGAAATAAAAATTGCCCTGCCTAAAAGAACAGCTGGAAAGAAGCAAGACAAACCACACTGAACAACAACAAAAAACTGTCCTGCCTAAGAAAAAAGCCAAAACAAAGCACATTAAACCAGAAGATTCAGATTCCTCCAACGAGGAAAACGTCTGCATTGTGTGTATGGAGCACTTTAACAATTCCAAGTCCAAGTGCAGGTCTGGGTGCAGTGTTGGAAATGCAAATGATGGGCCCACCAAGCCTGTACCCCAGGAAAGCTATACCACTGTCACAACTGTGACTCTGATTAAGTGAACATGTCCAACATTCAGTCACACACACACACAGACACACACACCCACTGTGATGAGGTGATGTCGAAGGAGTCAGGCACAGGAGGGTAAATCACAGAATAACAGGCTTTATTCTGCAAATACAGGGTTACACAGAAATGCGTCAAACACTCTAGTGCGCAAAACAGGCGCACTGGAAATTACAAGGCACACAGGGAAATATCCCGCCGATACAAAATACACGGCGCTCCACCGAGCTTCACTATCCTCCACAATAAACAATCACACACAAAGACAAGCGGGCAGAGGGAACACTTATACAGGTACTGATGAAGGGATATGAACCAGGTGTGTGTAATAAACAAGACAAAACAAATGGAATGATGAGATGAGGAGCGGCAGTGGCTAGAAGGCCGGTGACGTCGAACGCCGAAGCCTGTCTGAACAAGGAGAGGTGGCAGCTTCGGAGGAAGTCGTGACACCCACGCACACAGACATGCACGAACACACACACACATACACACACACACACACACACACACACACCACAAATGTTCAGATGTTTAGTTTAGCTTAGATGTTGTTTGGTTGAGAAATACCATTTAGTGGAGGTTAAAATAAAAAACATGTTATTATTAATATTTATTAATATTTCTGCCAACCAAAATGTTAAACATGGCAATGTTGTTCTCATGGTCTCAATGAAGGCGTTCAATAATAAGTCATGATTTATGCACTTTTTCATTCTGTTACAATTCACCCCAAGCACTGTTACAACAAACCCAGACCATGGGGTAATTGTAACACTTCACTTCTTGTATTTAAGACAACACCATGCATTTGCAGTTTGATTTACATATATAATAACCACACCAAGTTGTAAAGGACAGATGTACGTTGTTTATATCAAGTTTTGAATACACTACCATAAACGATCTCTGAGAAACTGACGAAAAGGTGAAATGTGTTACAACCATCCCCGGTCTCCCCTACTTTCTGAATGCACTGTATGTAGCAAACATGTTTGTTTTTTACAAGGCCACTGTGAATGTATCTGTGTGTGTCCGTCCCTTTGGGGGATGATTCAGAAAACCACACACTGTATTTTTACTGTTGATGCCTCAAGAGCATCTCAGCTAGAAATTACAGGCCCAGCATC